CTATGAGTGACAAGACATTGCTGGCGCCTGCCACGGCTCCACTCAATGCGCGGACATGAGGTGCCACCATGCCTAGAGAATGAGCAGCGAGAAGCACAGCAAACGCTACTGTGATGACATCTCGAAGTGACGCTAGTCCACTCGCGATGAATATTGAGCCGGTCCAGAAGGTCAAGGAATGGCTCCAGAAAGTGGTGGTCATGAGTACTGCAACCATGACCGCGGCAACCATCTGACCTTTGCGGCCCGAAACGCCGCCTGTTTGCAGCTCGGCATCGTAGCGCTTCGAAAACGAATCCTGAGCTCCAAGGATCTTCACTGTTCTGATTGTGCGCAATACTTCATCCGCAAGACCTCCAGCGATTGTGTTAGCGGCCATGGAGGCGCGGGTGAAGCGAATGATGTTACGGGTACTGAAGGCGCCTGTAATGACACAGACCACGAGGATCGAGGATGCGACGAGCGTCAACCTCCAGCTCCTGACAAAGCTAATGATGTACGCAGCAAGGATTGTCCCTATGGCGGTTATAGTAAAGGCACTCTTTTCGGAGATACCTTCCTGTATCATATGACAATCGTGTGCCAATCTTGATGAGAGTTTGCCGGGTGTGTGATCGTCCAGAAAGGCGATGTCTTGCCTCAGGAGGGCTCGAAAATATTGTTGGCGAAGTTTGCGAGTAGTCCGCTCACCGAAATACATGAAGCCGGTGGTAGAGATGTACGTTGCAAAGAACTCTCCAATGCCCAAGTAGACTAAATACAGAGACTTCTGGGACAGCTCATCATAAAAGGCCGCCTGTGATACGGTACCTAGGACAATTGCCTGAAACAGGGCAGCCATGTCCCCGAAGAGCAGCTGAGGTGACTGTCAGTATGAAGGCATGGTCTTTAGGTCATTTTACTTTACAGGAAAACATGGTACGATCGCTCCAGCAGCAATGGCACATATGATGCTGACTACGAGCAGTGACCACTCGGTTTGTGATGTGTATCTGAAGACATCCCTGAAGGAGGCGTGGGAGTTGGGTAGAGCAGTCTGGGCATCGAGCACTTCCTTGGCCATGTAAGTCTGGTCGCCATTCTTTTGCTGATGGGCTTTCTCTGTAGAAATCGAGTTTTCTCTGACAGGCAGCCCGGGCTCGGCAGGAATGGTAGGCATATTCGGGGCCTAGAGCTGGCTCACGGCTTGCAATCACTTGTCCCTGTCTCGCTTCATTGCCAGCCATGGCTTCGCAGAGAAACATGGTAATAATTATAGCTTGGAACCACGGTAGTGTTCTGGAACAGCTTGGGAAACGATCTGCAGCAGGTCATGAACAAACCAGTCCCACGTGTCCGACATCGCTACAGCAGCGACATTCGCCTCCCCCCACACGTCGACTGGAGGTTTAATGGACGATGAGGATTTCGCACAAGCAAAAAAACATGTCGATGAGCAAAGCCAAACTTCCAAACATGCTGGATTTTACGCCAATAGAACGTGCCCGGCAATTTTGTCCGTGAACGAAGAAGGGACCATCCCGCCCCGTGGAGAGCATTGGATGGGAATTCTCGCCAAGCCATTAAGGAAGCCTTTAAAGCGGAGAATCCAAGGCTCCGCGGCCAATCAACGACATTATCAGATAAGATTAGATTCGTCCGGACCCTGAATTCTAGCCAAGATTTCGTCTAGTCTATACCCTGGCGATCTATTAACAAAGCACGAATTTCGTGCTGGCATTTTTGCGGTGGCGAGCCGTCCTATTCCACAGATCCAATCTAATCAGATCATCTCCACTCCTACAGGCCGAGGCCTTGATCATGCTTGACCAGATGGGAGCCGTTTAAGACTATTTAGACGAAGAAAAGGCTGGGCAGCCGGCGGAGGCGTTCAGACTGAATAGCCGTCTGATGCGAATAACTCCTGCATACTCCGTAGGTGATGTGTTCGTTCATTGCCACATTCGTACAAATGTCCCCTCCCTAAACATGCCGATCCACATACCTCTATGGAACACGCCGAACTCGGCACAACCAGGGTTTCTGGAAAATTTGAGCAGAGCTTAGGCTGTCGGCACCATTATAACCTCCCTCTGAACCGGCAGTGGCGTAATGAAAGTATCTTCTTCCATCACATCGCATCTAAGCAAAATGGGCGTCCCTCCAACTAAAGACACAGACCAAGTGGTGGTGGCAGCACCTAGTACCTTGCGCGAGGATGAGGCGCGCGAGCCTGACGAGGTTGACACCCAGTCGGACGCAGACTCCATCCAGCCGGGCGTGCAAAAAGCTATATTGCTCAAAAAGGCATGGACCCCTATCAGTCTCACTATTGCCTTCATAGGGTAAGCAAGCCTGACCTCATGTCTCACGGTGATCCCAAGCTAAGCCGTACAGACTCTTTCTGACAACCTTCGTCCTGATTCTCTCGGATTATTCACAAGGGGTGTACGAACCTTACGTGACCAGTGAGTTCAGGCAGCATTCGGCCATGAGTGCCGCGAGACTGGTCAACAGCATTGCACGAATCTGCGCATTCCCGATCGTGGCCAAACTCAGTGATGTATGTCAAAGTTTACTTGAGGTAAAACACACGGCTGACGGGTAGTAGGCTTTTGGACGAGCAGAAATGTTTATCTTCGCTTTCGTCGCCTCTACGCTATGCTTTGTCCTTTTCGCCACAAGCCATAATATAGGACAATACTTTGTGAGTGCCTGTGGACAAATCGGGGTTGGAAGTAGCTGACGACATTTAAGGTATCTGGCATTTTTGACTCTGTTGGCGGAACGGCTTTTTTAAGCATGCAACAAGTTTTTGTCGCTGACGCTACTAACCTCGTTAATCGTGCGCTATGGTCTACGTTACCGGAAAGTATCACTAACATCCCGGCAATATACATCGGCACTATTATTGGCGAAAATATGTTAAACGGGATTGGCTGGCGTTGGGGTTATGGGATCTGGGCGATAGTTCTCCCTATCGCTGCCATACCTCTGGTCGCAACTATGTTATACTTGCAGCGACGAGCGAGAAAACACGGCCTGTGGACCAGGAGTCTCGCGAAAGATAAGCGGCAATCCGTTCCTTTGTGGAAGGCGACCTTTCAGATGATCTGGGTCGAGCTCGACATTATGGGCATTTTTCTGCTTATAGCCGGCTTGGCTCTGATGCTGATTCCACTCTCTCTGACCGGGTCCTTCAACCCCGGCCGCTGGAGGGAAGCCTCCTTCATCGCCATGTTCATTCTGGGGTTTGTTCTGCTCGGAGCTATGGTGATGTGGGAGCTAAAATTTGCCCAAAAGCCGCTGCTACCCGGTCCGCTTGTGAAGGATCGTACCGCAATGGTGGGATGTTTGATGCAGGGGCTGGACTTCATGGGGCATGCCGTGTTCAGCATCTTCTTCTCAAGCTACCTTCAAGTGGCGCCGGGTTATTCTCCTGGGCACGCGGTTCGAATCGAGTGAGTCACTCCCCCCACTTATCACGTAGCCGGAACTGACACTAGGACAGCAACTCCATCCGGTTGGCTTACCAGACCTTTGCTATCTTCGTGGCGTTGGGAATGAAGTATACCAAACGATCTCAGATGTGGCTCCTCATGGGGCCCCCCTTGGTGCTACTCGGGCAGGGCGTTCTCATCTACATCATCAACCACAATGGCGGACAAGGTAACGAAGCCAGCTTTGTGGCAGCTCGAGTGTGCATTGGTATAGGAAGGGCGCTGTTCCAGACCGCTGCTCAGGTCTCGGTCCAGGCAGCTGTCTCCCGAAAAGAGGTGGCTGTTGCGACTGGACTTTTCCAGGCCGCTGTCAGCATAGGTGCAGCCTTTGGCACCAGGTCAGCCACGGCTTTAGAAGTTAGATTACACCCATCACTAACGGGTAGCAGCATTTCCGGAGCTATCTGGCGGAACACCCTACCCGAGAAACTCGTTGCCTACCTTCCGCCGGAAGATCAATCTAACGCTCTTTCGATCTTCCAGTCTCTGGTCGTAGCCCGGAGCTTCGAGGAAGGCACCCCCATCAGAGACGCGATCAACCGAAGCTATCGTGAATCGATGCAGCTTCTCGCCATCGCTACCACAGCCATCTCAGTCCCAAATATCATCCTGATGTTCTTCATGAGAGACATTAGGCTTGACGAGGAGGACAAAAAGGACGAAGCCCAGCTGGACCATACAGTGGAGAAGTTCAAGGCAAGAGGCCAACATGATTCTGAGTAGACGTTTGTCATCAGTGTCGATCGCGAAAGACGATTGAGGGAGGGAAGAGTGTCGAAGCTACAGGATCATTCAGGCATCTGAAGGGGCCAACCAGTTTGGCGAGGGGATGGGCAATGCTCCTTTCCGACAGAAGTAGGAATTGATAAGCCCCTTGCTCATAACTGCCGTCTCACCGCAGATGCCCCCTTCCTATACCATGAACTTGGTACTGTTGCATGATTCAGCCGACCTTAATCCTGGGCTATACGAACAAGCTGACCCGTGGCAAGAAAAGTCATCTCTCTTCTGGAATTTAAGCAGTCTGGACGATCGCTATAAGGGCAGCGGCAAGACCAAGAACCAGAAGGAGGCTGCCGAGAGAACTCGACAGAATCGTGCGGGAGAGCGCGACATGACTCTCAAAAAGAATTAACTCGATTAACACCATATCAAAAAGCCATCTCGGGCTCTAAAAATCTAGGAGAAGCTCCCAAAGCCTTTAGAGCGTTTAGAGTCCTTAAGCGGTTCGAGAAATGTATAAAACTCCCGTTCATCCCCTTATACTAGACTAGCCCCTTCCTCTAAGTTCGTGTACCAACAAAGGAGAAGGATGGATGAAGTCCTCGAAGAAAAGGAGCGGACAGCTGAGTGGGCGAGTAGATAGGAGGTGGACTTTAAAGCGGCGATGCTTTTTGGTGCACAGCCTTACGCGCCCACGCCCACGCCCGCCCACGTGAGACTGAGGCGCGACTTCCCAAAGTTCAATTCACATCTACAGACAAAATCCAAATCCAAATCCACAACACAAACACAAACGTCAACTCATCTTCCACCTCTTCTACTCACACCCAAGGGCTGACCTTTTCTGCATCATCTCTTCTCCTCATGTCGCCGTAATCTTCCTATCATCCCCCTCCAGCCCTTGCTCCATCTCTCAACATGCCCAAGGTCATAGGTTACACTCCACCTTGGCTCTCACGACCTTCTCCTGGTGCCCGCATCTTTACTGATCCTGCTCCTCAATCTCCCGCCTCTCCCTCTAAACGATCCTCGTACCTTGGTTCTCCTCCATCTACAGACTATCAGGGGCCTCGCAGACTCCTCGCCAGCAGGGGCACAGAAGTCTTTACAGTAGTTGGAAATAAAATCAGATGGGCAGATTTGACTACTGTTCGGGACAATTGGGAAGACACCGCCAACTCGCGCTCTGGCTCTGCGATTTCGCCAACAGTTAAACAATCGGAACAGGCTCAGTCGTACCGCCTTCTCGATGTCTCAATCTACTACCAGATTCGTCACATTGCAGTCTCTCCTTCGGGCTCCTTTCTCGCAATCTCCACAGAGCACACCGTTCACCTTGCCGTGTTGCCTGCCTCTTCTAGACTCTCCGAATCAGATCGCTCCCCCCTCAAGCTCAAAACCTATCAACTTGGCCCGACCATCCATGTGATCCCAGAGTCTCCCCTCGCCTCTGTCCTGTGGCACCCTCTTGCCTCCTCCACCCCCTCCACCGACTGCCTTGTCACGATAACCGCCGAGGCCGCCGTTCGAGTATGGGAGATCGATCGCTCGAACAAATGGTCATTCGAAACACCGGCCCTCGCCATCGATCTTCGCAAACTCGCTGATGGTGTCTCATGCGATGATGACTTCAGTCCTTCTGGCTTTGGAAAGAGTCGTGGGTTTTCTGTCGACGATTTCGACATGGATATTTCATCTGCTGTTTTTGGGGGCCGAGGCCGGGAAGATGAAGATGCTTGGGCAAGCATGACACTATGGGTGGCCACAAGAAATGGAGATCTCTATGCCTTGTGTCCTCTGCTCCCCTCAACGTGGCGTCCTACTGAAACAACCATTCCGTCCTTGTCGACTAGTGCGGTCGCTCAGGTCGCTTCGCTCGATCCCCAGGACTTGAACTCTGATGAACGACGCGCCGCAAATCAGCAACTTGAGTGGGTTCAAGAAATCGACAGTGAAAGCCTTCTTATCGTGGAATCCCCAGACTCTCTCAGTCCGCACGAGGCCTGCCACCGGCCCCATAACCCTAGTGCCATTCCTCGACTTCAAGGTCCTTTCTCTGTCCAGCCCGCTGACGATGATGATAACGATATTGACATATCAGACATCTTCGTCTTTCCTGCAAAGCTTGACGAACAAGAGTTCTGGGCCGGTGAGGAAGACTATGTAGACTACGACCGACCGCTATCTTCAGGGGTTCCTTTTACAACTATTGCCATCGCAACAACCCAAAGCCACGTCTGGCTTGCAATTGACCTCGATGGTGTGTCAGGCCAGTGGCTACCCAAGAAAGGTCGCAGCGTTTTTAGTCTACCCTCCACAGAACCCCGAGAATTGACATTGATCGACAATTTTCAAATCACCAAAGATTCAACCACTTCTCCTTCCTGGCCGACCTTTACGGTCGACGTCGTACACAATTACTGCCTCTTCGCCGCAACGACCAACCAGATCCATTCTATCTCACTAAATGATTGGGTCAATCGCTTGGCAGGTGAACTGAATGGTAACGAGCCTATAGATCCTGGCTTCAAGACAAGAATCGAAACAACCGCACAAGGCCAAGTTGCATATACCGCAAGCATCCTCAATGTCGACCCACAGCCGTCGCAACATCTTTCGGCTCCTACGATCATTGATGACACAGGCCTGGGCTACTTCCTTTTGAGCTCCACTCCAACCTCGGCGCATGCTGTCTCTTTCGATCAAGACCATCTTCGAGCCTTTTCAACTGGTCCACCATCTCCCGAACTCACAACCTCATCCCCCTTCCGATTGACTGGACGTTTGTCGCGAGGCCCTTCAGATCTGCCTCCGACATCCGAGATTGAAAATATCCCATCGCGATCGCCATATGCCCCTGCTCACATCTTCTACGCCAACCAATTTCAGCATCTAGAAAACCTCCGCCAACGCCTGCCCCAAAATTTGAAAAGAGCAATCGTCGAAAGTCCTATGCGTCTTTCACCTGCGATCCTTGAGATCATGACTGCTTCCCACCGTATGTTTAGTGTTCAATCCGCCGAGCTCGAAAAGGCAGCTTCGGAGCTGTTCCGGAAATGCCAGCGTCTCCAAGAAGAACTGGGTGACCAAGTCAAACAAATGACCGACCTTGCTCAACGTTTGCAAAATCTCCAATCCAGCGAAGAAGAAGACGAACAAGGTCATCCTAAACCACGAAAGACACATGAAGAGAGAATTCAAGAAGCCAAAGACCGACAGAAGGCCTTGGTAAGCAGGTACGAGGAGCTCAGGAGGAAGGTTGGACGAGCGACCTCGACAAACAGGGAGTTAACGGTCAAGGAAAAGGCCTGGATTGAAGAAGTGAATACTTTGGGCCGAACGGTGGGGATTGATGACGTTGATGGTGATGAAGGGCTGCAAGAAGCAAGGGTGACAAATGCGTCTAGCTTAGGTGTCCGATTCGATACAGTGAGTTCGAAACTTGTCATCTGTTCTTGTTTCATGCCTTTACTGATCAATGTGCCACAGGTCAAACAACTTGCCACCGACCTGTCAAGCGAAGCTCGGGTGCTGCAAGAACAGGAACAGCAGCAAGCTTCTGGTCTCGACCAGAGTACCTCTTCTCTCTCGGCCTCGGCAACATTCTCCCGCTCTCGAGCGTCTATCGGTCCAGGATCATTTGCTGATAATATGACCGGCTCAGGGCTTGGTGTCCAGGTGTCTAACAGACTCCAAAAGGAGAAGATTGCGGAAGTTATGAGTATGGTGGAACGTGAAAGTGCAGTCATTGACGCTGTCGCCCAGAGACTGGAGCGGCTGCGAAGTTTCTAACAGAATAAAGTAATGGGAAATGACACCGTTGGTGTGTGTGAGGATGACTTTTGCGATGCAAGCCCTCTATTTGTCTGTTTCAATGTTACTCATGCCTGAGGTGGTACAATGCAATTCCTTGCATGATTTCCAATTTGATCATCGTTTCATTCACTTCATCCTATCGCATTAAATTCAGTCTCTTAGATGGCCAACTCCCCTCCCTCCCTACATAGTACCTACCGCCTACTCCCTTGGTTGACATCTAGAGTCATTTATTTGCATCCAACATCAAAACCTCACCTCTCTCAGCTCTCCTCTCCTCGCCACAGCATCATACTCGACCCATCGAGCCAAACCCCTTCTCGAGCCGACTCCATCCTCGTCAACCACTCGACCTGGATTCATGACATGACAACCTTCATACGAGATGGCAAATGACGGCGTATCAGCATCAGCCAGCACCAACGCCGTAGGCAGCGGGTACAGTGACAGCGAAGCCGCATGATCCCAAAAGATCGGCCTGATCGAGTGTGAAAATGGCGCAAGATGGGATTGATCGAGGACGGTCTTGATCAACTTGCGAGCGGAGTTCGTTGAGCTATTACTCGTCGTGGTGGTGGTACTCGTCGTTGGAACGTGCGACGTGGCTTCATGTACCATGGCGTCGAGACCCGTGGTCGTCACACCGTCGTCGGCATCAAGAGCCATATCTTCGACAAACGTGTCCGTGACTTCTGCTTGTGATTGAGAATGAGAACCATTCTGATGACCAGTTTCCCCCTCCTCATCCTCGTCATCCTCATCAAGTTTCGCAAACGAAACCGCATTCCTCCGAAACCGACCCGTAATATCATCTCGAAACAAAACCAATTCCTCCACCGGCCCAAACATAGTCAATCTCGCCGGGTTAGTCGCCCAAACCGCCTCTCCTAGATCCTTATTCCTCTCCTTCCTGCCCAATTCCGTATTCGCCGCCGCAAATGCCCTTCGAATTCTCGAGGTGAAAATCTCCGGCACACCTTGTCGAGGGAGCACGGTGGCCCCCCCGGCGCTGAAACTACTTGCCCATGGATCATTGTCACCAGGAACAAAGACAAAGGTGCTGGTGGCGAGAAGATTCGGGAATTCACTCATGACGGATGCAAGGCCGTCAAAGTATTCTTTATATTCGACGCTGCCGCCGCCTTTGGTGGAGCCGGCCATGCTTGCGGCAGAGATGAAATTGCCCATTAGGATGATGGATAGTGGGTAGTCGATTTCGTCGGTGCTGGCGTTGGCGTAGCTGCTTAAGATGGCGCGTATGCCTTCAAGTGTGCGTGGATTGTCGAGTGTGCATTCGGCGACAATGGCGATTTTGGTTCGGGGGAGTTGGACTTGGATTTCTTCTTCATGGTGGTCTTGATCCTGGTCGTGTTCGATCGCGGGTGGCATTGTCTGGGGTGTTGATTTGAGGATTCGTCTTTGAATGCGTCGCATCTGTGCACCGAGTGCTTTCTCACTGCCCACGCCGAGGAAATCCACCCAGCCAAATCCTGCGCCGACGCTGGCAGCGAGGTTTTCCTTGTCCGCTTGTGCTGATAGACCTAGGGTGAGACTTCGTCTTTCGGCAGGTGGTCCGGCCATGGTCTCTGCGACGAAAGATCCTTTGATTTGACCTCCTATGCCGGCTGCAGTGCCTAGGTTAGAGTTGTTGGAACCGTCTTCTAGATAGCGGCCTTCGACGAGGACGATCATGCCAGGGCAGTACCAGGCTCCATCTTCTGGGATGGGTCTTGTTGTCGACATGTCTAGCACTACGCTTCCTGAGAGGTCGGTGAGGGCCAGATCGCCGGCTGCTGAGTGGACGAGCATGCCTAGAAGGAGGTGGAAGGAGCCGGACCGGCCGAGGAGGTTGGAGATGGGAGTGATTTTGTAGGCTTGTTGGAGTGATGCAGCGCTACTACCAGAGTGGATGAGAGCTGGTTTCCGTTTCGAGCTCGAGAATGCTGGCGCTTGGAAAGATTCATTTCGCATCAATCGTTGGTGGATCAAGTGATAACGATTTCTGAACATGGCTGTCTTGTTCTGTGTCGCCGAGAGAAGGGTCGGTGGTCCTGAGACTCTCTCGACTGTCTTTTTCGAGGTCGAGTATGTCAAACGCGGTTGGTCAAAGGCAGATACAACTTTGAGGTAAGACCTTGGATCGAGGGTTGTGGGATCGCTGTGGTCGTCAATTTCGCCTGGTTCTTGAACAGTCAATCCAGATATCCCCAGACTCGTCTGGCTATCGTCTCGACTGATCTCAGGACGAAGATTGAATGAACTTGACCGAGATAAAGATCCGACTGAACTGTTCTGTCGTGATAATTTGCCTGTATCCAGACGACCACCAGACATGCACGGCTCAAACGTTTTGAGTAGGTTGGACAATTTCTTGTCTGGTCCATCCTCGACAATCAGACCACCACCAATCCGTTTCCATGACTTTGCAATCTCGTCCAGTACTCGTTCTGCCAGTCCATCTTCTCGCCATGCACTCCCACAGTGTTTCCCCACAAAGGTGGATAGTACCCCAAGACCTGAAGAGGTCAAGGTCAGGTTATGTTTCTTGGTGAGGGTTCTGAAAGCGACCGGCCGTAAGGTCTGAGGAGGGAGGAGAATGGGCAGGACTGTAGGAGCATTGTTGTTTGAAGTGGTGGTTGTGTGTGTTTGAGGTGCGAATGGAAGTCTAGATATGGGTCTTTGTCGTGGTTGGATTGGATATGCGGGTGTCCCAAAGGCGGGACTTGAGGAGAGTAATTGATCTTTAGACCCTGGACCTGACGTGTGGGCTATGCGTTGTGGTGGTGGAAGTCTGGGAGTTGATATTGGTTCTGCCATTTTTATTGTGGGAGGGGGAAATGTTTAGCAGACTGGGAGGATCATTACTTGGAGGACATGATGCTGGATTTGAGACAACGTGAGAAGGAGTTCAAGTCTGTATAGAACTGAGTCTCGTGATGGATTTGAAGTCTATTAGGAGTGAATGGCGTGTGTGGTAGTTTGTCGTTTGTCGTCTGTCGTCTGTCGTCTTGTTTAATTGAATCGCGGGACGCGCTGACGGTGACGCGTTCCGCGCAGTTGCAGACGTGACGCGTTTCTATTATTGCCGAAGATCTGCCGACCACTTTTGATTCTCGTTGCAATTCATCAATTCTGACTTCGATTCGGTTTCTCCAGTCTCTAAATTCATGATAAGGCGACCATCATCTCGCATCGCATTCAGACTGTCAACCTGCTAGAACAGCACATCCTCTCGATCGCTATTTTCTCACCATGTCTACTCCCGCCGAGAGCGGAGGAGCAGATCCACCAGTCGCAACTGCTACCGACGTCGATCAACCGACCACCGAATCGTCGTCGCCACAAGACCAACTCGCAGAATTGATAGCCAAGGCCACTGCTGAATACGCCGTCAAGCATTATTCGGAAGCAGCCGAATTCTACTCTCAAGCAGCCGAACTACAAGATGAAATCAATGGCGAAATGGCCCTGGAAAATGCCGATCTATTGTATTCGTACGGCAAATGTCTCTACTTCCTCGCTCAGCAGACCAGTTCCGTTCTAGGCGGCACAGCTGCGTCTGCGCAGCTATCGAGCAACAAGGGAAAGAAGGCGCCTCGGAAAAAGAAGGAAATTTCAAATGGGCAGGGATCATCATCCAGCAATGGACAAAGTTCAAGTTCACATGCTGCGGCATCCTCTGCTCCTGCAGCCGACGCGCTTCCGAACGTAGGAGACGTAGTCCCCGAGTCAGACATCAAACCCACAGAGTCTTCAGAACCCGCATCCACATCCGCCGACAGACCTCTCTTCCAAATCTCAGGCGATGATGTCGGTTGGGACAGCGACGAAAGTGATGAAGAAGAAGACCCGGAAACCCAAGAGGAAGAAGAAGACGACTTCGCCACCGCCTACGAATTACTCGATCTCGCGCGTGTCCTCTACCTCCGAAAACTCGATCAAACACAAGAATCCAAACTCGCAGAGTCAGACAAGGGCAAATACGTCGCGTCCATAGATCTCACACCCGAGGTTAGAAACCTCAAATCGCGAGTTGCCGATATTTACGACCTGCAAGCCGAAGTCAATCTCGAGGGCGAAAAGTATTCTTCTGCAGTGACTGATCTCACCGCATGTTTGGCACTCAATGAAGAACTCGAGAAACCAGAATCCAGCATCCTGGCTGAATGCCACTATAAATTAAGTCTGGCTCTTGAATTCAGTTCGCAAAGCCAACAACGCGACGAAGATGGAAATCCGTTCGGTGACCTTGAAGTCGATTGGAAGATTCGAAACGAAGCCGTCAGTCAACAAGAGAAGGCGATTGAATGCTGCAAACTCAGAGTGACCAAGGAAAAAGCCGAGTTGGAGAAACTCGACGCTGGTCATCAGAAAGATAAAGCCATGGCTCAGATCGAGGATGTTCAAGACATGATATCAGAAATGGAGGTTCGATTAGCCGAACTTCGCAAACCGCCTGTCAATGTCAAGGCTGAGACGGAATCACAGATGGTCAGGGAACAGATTTCTGGGGTTTTGGGTAGTATTCTTGGAGGAGGCGGTACCGAGGCTGAGAAGAAGGAGAAACTCGCTCAAGTTTCGGAAACGGCGAATGATTTGAGTGGTTTGGTCAAAAGGAAAAAGGCGAAAGGAACAACAACAGGTCCAGCCAATGGAGGAGATAGTGGTGTGGGATCTGCTGCGTCGACTCCAGCTCCAACAACTACTACCAGTGAGGACTTGAATGGTTCTGGGTCCAAGGGGAAGCGGAAAGTTGGATTTGTGGACGAAGTCGAGGATAATGAGAATGGAAAGAAGGCAAAGGTGGAGGATGCTGAGGATACGGGCTTGTAAACGGGCGGGCAATGCCTTTAACGATTGGGTATAGTTACCTTATGCTACAGAATGGTGTGGCGGAACTCCATCATCGAGCTTGTTTCGACATGTTCCTCTTAACACGACATGATGTGACATGGGAGGCTTTCGATGAATTTTGGATGAATGGAGTTTGAGAGGGTATCAAGAATGGCTCCCTTCGCTCATATTACTGTGCTTCTATCTTAGCTTGCTATATTGATGGCGTGGAAATATCCATACAATCTCGACATCTCGTGCTTGCACTCATCTCGTCCACGTTCGTGCACCTTTCGGTCATCTAGTAGGTTTGGGAAAAAAGAATCAGATCTAATGTCATTAAGTCGTTTAATCTAAAGGCTCTGTTGAAGCCCCTGTCTATCTGTCTATAGTGTCGTCGACCCAAACTTGTCCAAATCCGACTCAAATGGTTGGCTTGAGCGCTTCATGTCCAACACATTTTTTCAAGCCGCACTTCAAGTTGGTCATGTACAAAACGCAAGTTGCGAGCACAGCAAAGCCCTCTTCATTTCAAGCTCGGGCGCCCTGGGCCAAACTTAGACAATACTGTTGCCTCGTCCACTCCGGCTGGTTGCTCGATCTGTAGATCGGCGCAGGATTCCACTCATCATCGTGTGATCTTGTGATGTCGACCGTCTTTCGATGGACCTTCTTTCATTGGCCTCCCGTTCTTGCGATGCCCTTCTCGAAGCTTGTGCCGACTCGTTAGACTCCTTGATGACGTCTTCATACACCGGTCGTTGACGGCCGTCGTAAACGTCTGAAAAAGAATCGACGGTGCCTGCGTCCCGGGATCCCAGCGAAAAGTCCACGCGCTTAGCGATGGATGAGATGGACTCGCCTCTCGCACGGGGAGCTCTCCGTCTCAATATCGACGGATGAGAAAGTGACGGTGTTGTAGGGGTTGCTTCGACAGGGGCAGGACCTCCGTAGACGTCGGGCTGCCCCGGGTTCTGACCTGGTGGAGGATAACCAGACAAGAAGAAAGGCATGTCTGCACGCCAACCGGCCTGGTTGGTCTGTGGTCCCTCGATGCCCTGGTTTTGGAGAGCCACCATCAATGCACAGATGAATTTGTTTCGACGTTGAAGACGTAGCAACTCATTCTGCCAATTCGACTTGTAGAAAAAGACCACGTTCAACGTCAGAGAATACACCTTCTCCACCTCGCGGAGTTCGGTGAGAATGTTGTTACCATACTCTCGCTTCTCTTCTCGAACAAAATCCAGCAATTCATTCCGCAGACCTTCGATTTGTTGCAGCGTGGTTCCGAACTTGATATTGATGGGGACTGCCTCCGCCAGGGCTCCAGACCGGCGCATGTTGAGCACAAAGAGCGTGTTGAGGTAACTGTTAGGGGCTTGGACCACGTGACCCTCCATCTTTTTGAACTCGGTGTATAACAGGGCGATCTCCTTGACGAAATAGTCATCCCCACGCATCATGTTTCCAGTTGAACCGTAGATTGTCACCCTGTCTCCCACATCAAAAGGATGTTTAACAAATACAAAGATGCAAGACTGAAGAAACTCCTGCGCTGTTGCACTAAACAGCCACGACAATGCCAGGACCGCCGACCCGGCAGACGTCAAGACCCCAGCAGCCGAGGTGGAGATGAGCGAAATAAAGACCAAGATGGTGATGACGCAGACCACAAAGAATAGCACACCATCTAGTTTGGAGACGACTGAATCGAGATCTTTGAGGGAGGCGGTGATACTCTTGCGTTCCTTTCCAATCTCGGCGCAAACATTTTCCAACTCTTCCATGGAAATGTCTCCATTGAGATCCTTGTCGAACATGGTAAAAGCAGCTTCGGCTTCGTCGTCGTTGTCGAAAGCATACCTAAGGTCTTCCGAAGACACCGTCTCGCTGCCTTCTCGGACAAAGGTTCGATACAAGCGACGGGCCAGGACTTGTGACCCAGAGGTGCTGTGCAAGAGAGTGAGAATGACTTGAGCGGGATGTCCACTCTTGGCAATTTTCTTCCCGGTGAAATCACCCGCGACCGTGCCGGCCACGTCGCCGACTTTTGCAAAGGCGCGATTGACTGCGTCCTGAGCCTTCTCGGCGTATATGGCTGGTGTACGAGTACCAGAAGCAGTTCCCGAGGGTCGATCTTCGAACTCGGCATCTTCCATGGCGATTTTGGTCTTGGAGTAGATATACAGTTTGGTCAGACTGCCAATCTGAAATTTGTTGATTTCGATGCGGTCTGCATAAGTGCGGAGGTGGAACGAGATGGCGATGAGTTGGATGATAATCTTCTCAGCGAAGTTGATGGTGGTACCGACAAAGATGGAGATGAAAACTATGTTAGTGTTTCGTTGCCAGTCCCGCGTACCTCCTTCAACCATGTGGTTTGTCATGGTCGGGAGGAAGGAAACCTCAATACCAAGCCACCAGAAAAACAGGGTGGCGGGAACTTCGAGGGCTTTACCCATATCACGCCATTTTTTGGCGTTGTTGGTGAAAAGGCCCGCAACCAGACCAAACGGATAGGGGATGAGTCGCGCAACAATTCTGGCGGCCCACAAGGTAAGCCAAACAATCTCGAGCCAGATACAAAACCACAACAGATGGACGCCACCAACATTGGCTCCAGACGCAATAGGAGCAAATCTTGCTATCAAGATGGGAATCAACAAGACCAAGGCGACGGGAACGATGTAGGTGAAGTAGCGGACAAGGAATGAGGATTGATGGACGTTTTTAAAAAACCTGCCGAGCTTGCTGCTTGGGTTTTCCGGAGGGTTGTAGATGGCAGCTCGTTCGTGAATGGGATTGGTAGCAATATCGAATTCGTCGACAGGTTCTCCGCCTCTGGAACGGGACATGTGTAAGGATGCCCGACCCTCTGCCTCTTCTTCGGCTATTGAGGTCAGCCGTTCTGCCCTCTGCACGGCAAGTTCGTCTTCGAGTCTGGAGGCTTCCTCGCGTGCCTGGGAAGCACTTGGACGGAGCGTGTCCGAGTCATCTGCTCGATCGGACTCGGCCTGGAGGCGAGTATGGAGGGACTCGGGGTCCATATGGTCATGGGGAGGAAACGGTTCCGTAGGAGCAGTATGAAGGTGGTTACGGACCGCCTCCGAGTTGGAACGCTCCATATTGAAGGAGGAATGGTCCAGGACCAGTTGCAAGTTGGTTGGAGACAGAAATGAGCGACTGGGGACGTGAATATATTGGAAGTAGGATGATAGGGGAAGGAAAAGGATCAACGAAGGGTATCTACATGCCAAGAGGGGAGGTCACTCTGACGGGAAGGTGCCACCATCTTCATATCTGAAGCAGCAGGAGTCGATGCAAACTCTGATGGTCGTTGGGAGAGGAAAGAGCGACGGGGTTCACACAAACTCACCCTGGGGGAAGGAACCACTGAGAACGGAGACCAAAGGACCGATGAATTGAGCGTCACTGCCGTGTACTCCGTAGCAAATTTTATGAATTCTTAGCAATGACGTCGGGGTCCCCAAGTCCGCGTGTTTCAGTCTCCATTGACCGTCGAATCTCGTTGGATCACTTCCAAACGCCATGAAAACCCCTGGCCATCAAGAGGGTCTCCTACGAGCACAGCCAAGGGCGGGGCGAAATCAAGAGCCAGAATTTATCCATATTGGTCGATGTTGGGGTCTATGCGTTACAAGTACTGTAGGTACAATGGGACGCGGTTTGGAGAATCGAACATGGCGTGCATGGCTTCTCTCCTCCTCAGAAAATGTAGATAAGGTCACTGGCTAGCGTGAGACACCGTTCACGACTAAAATTTGACTGACAGGCCCGACGAGAAAACAAGCATGCGGCTTTTGGTACAGGCGAGGACTATTGTGACCCGAGAAACATGGATTGGCATGGATCGCCATGGGTGAGTAACCGCCGAGTCGACCAAGTGGGGGAAAAATGGGTAAGAATGGGTGGGGAACAGGGCAGGGGTGACGCAGAAGGCGTCGTTTTGGTGGGTTGGTGGGAATGAAAGAACGCCGGGGAGGACGCCCGAGGCGCCACCAAACACTGACCTCGAACCCATAATTGGCATGATCAGGTTGAATTAAGGCCCCAGAGTCCCTCGGTTGCTGCCAGAGCCAACAACTCAACGGCTTCCAAGCAACATTTTACTCCTGTGTGCCCCTGGATGGGTTATGATAGGTGTCCAACTTTGGGTACAGAAGGCCGAGAGGGGAACCTCCGGAGGCAACTTGAAGCCTGTCAGCGCTACTTGGCGACGCTGTTTCACAACCACAGGCACCCGTGGGCCCTGGCACCGCACCGGCTGCCGACGAAATCTCTCTCGTCCAATTAATTGTTGGTGAATGGCTCCTCGAGCATGTTGGCTTCTCTTGAGTCTTGTCACATCGAGATTCGTCAGTATAATGTAGTCCTAAACATACATAACGTTCTCAGTTTGTGCCAACTTTTGTGGTCACAGAGTAGGTGTGGCACGATGAACGCGCACGACGACGCGTATGATGGGTCAGAAAACTTGTTACATCCGCTTATATGCCTTTTTGCACAAATATGAATGTATCTACTGCCATACAACCAGTCTACGCATTCTGTACAAAGTAGCATTGATCTGATTGCCTCAACGCCGAGGTCTCTGTTTCATTTCATTTTCATCTACACGCCTAGAACCTGGATAATGAGCTTATCTTTCATGCAAATTTCGAAACACGCACATGACGATTCACAGATCTTCAATCTCGCAGCTTTTTGCTCCATTCTGTAGGCTGTGCCGCTGCAACAAGCCAAGCAGCCTCTCCAGGTTTGGCCCCATATTGAGCAGGCCCAGGGCACCAGCTACTTCCCCTTTTCTCAACGAGACAAGTCAAGCATGTGAAGATTCAAGATTACACAGAAGAATAATGCTGGGTCTGTACAAAATATGATATAAGTAGCACAATACCACATGCCTCTTCCCTTGTTACACAAAATGATGATCAGAGACGCAACCGTGATTTCTTTTCTTTTCCGGAGATCATCTGAAAGTAGGAGTAACGTTCATTGTCAAATCAAGGTAAATGCTTCAAGTGTCTTCTGAGATTAAAACTTAGAGATCCCACGTGGCATCAAGTATGTCTCCTTCGATATAGATATTATTTATCCCACAAATTGTGGTCGGCTATCTTCCTCGATCAAGAGACATGCGACTTTTATAGGCTTGGACACGGTGCTGATCATAATACATACACATGCTGAGCTCAAAACCGTACCTGCTTGTTATCTACTCCAGACATTAGAATGGCAATCGGTGCCCAATATATGAGTGTGCCATTCATGTCAATTCTCAGCAAGGCTTGTATAGTCACGTGATAACACTGTGCTACCACACGTGATCTCAACCAGACACGTGCACAAGGCTTCCTTTCCTTTGCCTCCTTCCCAACCTGACCGAGGGCTTTGTCTTGGCGCTTGTTTACCGACATTTGTTTGGCACGCGCCAATCGCGAATCGATAACCCTGCTTCGTTCCTTCCTAACCTAGAACTTGCAGCCTGCACCTGCACCTGCACCTTTCGTTGTTCCCCTTCGAGTTCTCGCGCACAACAACCAACAGGCTTGTCCACATTTCATCTCCGTCAATTCGACATTTTTCTTCGTCCAAGAGCGAACTCCGTCAATCCCTCCATCTCTCGAGAATCATCTTACACAAACACCAAGATGCGTGGAGAAGTAAGCCAGTCCTCTCTTCCGAACCCCGTGTTGTGCTCTGCCCCGCCACGGTTTCTCGCCCACATCAACAAATCACTGCCTGCCCCATATCCCACCACATTGACGAAAGTCGTGTTTTGTCACGAGAATCCATCATCTTCAGCCTACTGACACCTCGATATAGGTATGTCACCTGCACATCGGACAGGCCGGCACCCAATTGGGCAACGCTGCCTGGGAGTTGTAAGTGATTGACTGACGCGCCCACCGCTATTTCTAATCCAGCCCGCACTAATTCTCCGTCAAGATATCTCCTCGAGCACGGCCTCAAGGCTGATGGCCGCCCCGACCCTGAAGCCAACGTCGGCGATCCTGGTTCTTACGAGACATTCTTCAACGAAACTAGTGGAGACAAGCATGTTCCTCGTTCCATCTTCGTCGATCTCGACCCCTCCCCTATCGATGAAATCCGTACCGGCAAATACCGTCAACTCTTCCACCCAGAGCTCTTGATCAGTGGCAAGGAAGATGCTGCAAACAATTATGCTCGTGGTCATTATACCATTGGCAAAGAGTTGGTTGATGATGTCCTGGACAAAATTCGCAAAGTTGCCGGTATGGTGTGACCGCGTCTTTGCCTAAACGGCATTTGTTAACGCTTTATAGACAACTGCACTTCGCTTCAAGGTTTCTTGATCTTTCACTCTTTTGGTGGTGGTACTGGTTCAGGCTTCGGCGCCCTCCTCCTCGAGAGACTCTCAGTCGACTACGGAAAGAAGTGCAAGCTCGAGTTCGCCGTCTATCCCGCTCCACAGGTCTCGTCATCGGTCGTTGAGCCCTACAATGCCGTTCTTTCCACCCATAGTACTATCGAACACGCCGACTGCACTTTCCTCGTCGACAACGAAGCCGTCTACGACATTTGCCGCCGTAGTCTCGACATTCCACGACCAGATTATGAACACCTCAATCGTCTGATCGCCCAGGTGGTCTCCTCAGTCACCTCCAGCCTGCGTTTCGACGGCGCCCTGAACGTTGACTTGAACGAGTTCCAAACCAACTTGGTTCCCTACCCTCGCATCCACTACCCGCTCATCAGCTACGCACCAGTGGTGTCAGCCAAGCGATCTTCTCACGAGAGCTTCAAGGTGCACGATCTGACCCTCCAATGTTTCGAGCCTAACAACCAAATGGTGGTTTGCGATCCACGCAACGGAAAATACATGGCCGTCGCTCTTCTCTACCGTGGCGATGTTGTTCCTCGGGACACCAATGCCGCTATTGCTTCTCTGAAAGCCAAGTCCAGCTTCCATCTAGTTGACTGGTGTCCTACCGGCTTCAAAGTTGGCATCAACTACCAGCCACGTATGTACTCGAGTGTCACCCTTTTTGTGCCAATACTAACATGTGTTATAGCCATGCCTGTTCCCGGCGGTGAGTTGGCACGCGTTGATCGATCAGTCAGCATGTTATCCAACACCACTGCAATTGCCGAAGCCTGGAGCCGACTTGACCACAAGTTCGACCTCATGTATTCCAAGCGTGCCTTCGTTCATTGGTACGTCGGAGAGGGCATGGAGGAAGGTGAATTCTCCGAGGCTCGAGAAGATCTCGCTGCCTTGGAGAAGGATTATGAAGAGGTTGCTAGCGACAGCCTGGAGGTCGACGACGAAGCTGGTGCTGAGTACTGATTGTGTAAGACTTGAGACGATTGCCGGCAGGGTCTTTTCTGATTGTTTGATCAGACAGAGTCCCCGTCAATCTTTGGTTGCAACGATTATCCTATTCGAGCATGGCAAAGTCAGGACACAGACCACCAGCATTGGGAACGCTAGAGCCTGGCACCATGGGCGCCGGAATCTGTGAGACATGAAGCGATGATTGTGTTGAGTATAGGAGAGTAATTCCTTCGACCCGAATGAATGTTCCGTCGGAGTTGGAGGGTTAGAAGTCTCGGGCTGACTAACAGACGTTGGATTTTGTTCATACATAGCTTCACTGTAGTTGCTTGCAGGGACAAGAGATGATGCCGTAGGCGGCGACGTCGAACATCACTCTCGCTATCCAAGCTACAACTCAAAGACATATTGGACACTCAACAGTATTGCAAGCTGTGGGGATCAGCGACCTTTACAAGCAGTGATGGTGGATGCTTGTTGTAAGTTGATGCAAGTGCACGTGACAAGGCTGGGGAAACAGCCCAATATTCACATCACGTCACGTCACATCTCCAACCAGCCCTGGTTCCTCCACCGTTTCATTGTTTCATAGTCGACAACCTCGCACCATGCCAGTGTCTCTTCTTATTTGTACCTACTAGTGCCGGCACTCCCAATGCTCGACAGTCATATGTTGTTGGCGCAGGCGCAGGCGGGGCACAGCTACTCGCGGCCGTACCTCACCCGTTCACGATCTCAAACCAATCCAGCGCCATCAGTATTGCAAGAGCAATCAGAGTCGCAGGATGGCAGAGCGACCAATGAACCAGTTAACACGTTACGGCCAACACATTCAAGGTCGAAGTCATATCTTCCTCCCTCCTCCCATGAACACTCCAAAACCCGCACCATCCTTACTGGTCCAGTCGCCTCGGCCGCTTCGGCCATAGAGAAAAGCGCAGAGAGATTGCCACGCCTTCACCTTCCAGGCTCCAGTCACCGTCACCACCAACATACACTCTCACATTCACATTCATCCATCAACTCCAAAAGCCAGATATCTGAACGCAGCAGCAAACATGAACGTCACCGACGCGGCCACCGTTCGACACAATCCGAAGCACATGCACATAAGCCACGAGGAAAGTCGAGGGACGGTCTGCCACATCTCGTCGCAGGCCTCAACGCCGAACGTGCCAGCCACCAGCACCACCAACAATACCAACAATACCAAGCACGCGACGCCTTTGGACCTAGTGACACCTCAATGGCCGACTTTGCATCTGGCGGCAGGTTCGACCTGCTAACTCGAAGCAACACACAAGCACGCAACCAAACCCTGAACGACTCCCAACAGGCCGACGCAGGCCTCACACGCCGACCCAGCACGGTTTCAGAAATAATGGCGCGCGGCGACGCCGCCAAATTTGCCAAACGTCTCCACGTCAAGAAACATGAAATCGAGCAACGAGACGTCGAGATCGCAGAAGCCGAAGAAGAACTCCGGTCACGAATCGGACAAATCACCAGCACAGGAGTAGAAATCACACGCCGCTTGGATTACGGGTATTACAACCTCTTGGAAAAAGTCAACAGCCTCGTCGGAACCATCACATCCTTCCAGAGCCTCAGCCGACAAACAGAAGTCATGATCCACAATTTCGACAAAGAAACGCAGCGAATGGAAAGCGATGCACGAAGAAGAATCGCAGCTTTTCACGAGGGAATGGACAAAAGAGCCGAAAAAGGTCGTATGTTGAAAGAAAGAGGCGATCGAGTCGGAGCTAAAGCTGAGGAATTGGAAGCTCGTCTTGAAAATGCGAGGATCATCTTGCAGAATTTGGAGGCGAGAGAAGAACGTGATCGTGAGAGATGGAGACATGTAAGTGGGTTTATGCGTTGGTCGTTGGCTTTGTTTGTGGGTGTGGTTCTGGTTCTGGCTTTGTCCAAGTCGTGGTGGGCGGATGATGCGAGAGATGTGGTTTCGGCCATGACCATGCGGTCGACTACTCCTCCTCATCCTCATGTGGTGGCGACGGGTGTCGATGTCGATGTCGATGTCGATGTGGATGATGTTCCGACAAGGCAGACTTTGAATTTCCATATGCCCGACGATGTGAGGGAACTTATGCGTGCGATTGCTGCAAAGAGGCATCTTGCGAATCGAACGGTTGAGGTTCCGGGATCGGGATCGTTGGATGCAGCCGCTGGTACTAAGGGTGTCGGAGGCGATCATGATGAGCATGTGGATGTCTCTTCTGGACAGATACCCCGTGATGATGACCCTAGATTGAGGCGTTTGGATGAATTGTAGCACATGTTACATAGCATGGCGTCTAGCATGGCGTCATTTCAGCGTTGATAGATATACCCCCGTCCCGCATCTCGGAATGAATTGTATCATTTGGTTTCTTTTTCCATTTTTGGTGGTATCTATCCACCAAACCAAGAACCCATCCATGATTTACCAGGGAACTACATTGAGGTAGGGATAAAAGCGGAATTACAACACACAATACCCAAAGTGAAGTGATGTGAAGTGAAGATCCATCGTATTGATTTCTATGATCCTCCTAAACCGACCAATATGGGAAAGCAGCCCATAAACATCAACATCAACATTTCTCTCGAAATCTATTATTTGTTTTGTTTTGATCTGTTACAAAGACAGTACAGCGAGTTCCTTCGCTGAGAAACCCCATGACACCCGTATTGTCCTTGTATTTGATCGCTTAGGTCGTGAACAGACGAAGATAGGTATGTGTTTCAATTCTGTGTGATTTGGGTATGAATGATGGAACTCTGAGCCAGTAACTTGGCGCCAATGTCGGGTGTCAAGAGTCGCGGTTCCAAGGTGTATGGTATGGTATGACGGGGACATGTCATAGATAGTCTCGTAGTCTGTTTGTTTCTCTTCCGTGAGACCAGTCATTCGTAGATGAGAATAGGTCATTTAAGATGTCGTCATCTGCCCGAACGGTTTTCATTTGGTAGGAGGATGGCCATTCTTGTTGAACCGATCCGCAACAACACCATTGAGACCATTTGTGATTTTAGGACCGACGACAGCCTTTTCCACAGCCTGCAGAACATCCTTTCTCAAATCAGCCGCATCTTCTACACCACAGCTAAGTCGGATGAGATCGTCAAAGACACCAATGGCCTCGCGTTGCTCCTGGGGAATGCCAGCGTGAGTCATGGCACTGGGGACTTCGCAAAGACTTTCGACGCCACCGAGACTTTCAGCCAGAGTAAAGATTTTGGTGGATTGACAGAATCGCTCGGCGGCGGCATGGCCACCCTTGATTCGGAAACTGAGCATACCGCCGCCCAAGCCGTCGCGATGTTGTTTGAGAGCCACAGCGCGTTGTTTGTGAGAGGCCAAACCGGGGTAATTGACGGCGATGACGTTGGGAGATGCTTCCAAGGCAGTGGCGACTTCGAGTGCGTTCTTGCTAGCCTCGCGAGCTCGCAAGTGAAGAGTCTTCAAGCCTCGATGGGCGAGCCAACAGTCGAATGGTGAGGGGACGGCTCCAATGGCGTTTTGTAAGAAGGTGAGACGCTCTTTGAGCTCGTCAGAGTTGAATGCGGCGACGCCCATGACTACATCGGAGTGGCCGTTGATGTATTTTGTGACGGAGTGGATTACAATGTCGGCGCCATGATCGAGTGGATTCTGGACATAGGGAGATAAGAATGTGTTGTCGACAACGACAAGGATGCCATGTTTGTGGGCGACCGTGGCGATCTTGCGGATGTCGACGAGGCTGAGAGTTGGATTGGAGGGGCTTTCAATCCAGATGAGTTTAGTCTGGGGGCGAAGCAGCTCCTCAACGTCTAGTTCGATTGATGGGGAAAAGGTGACTTCAACGCCATGAGCGAGAGCGACCTTTGTGAAATAGCGATGGGTTCCTCCATAGACATCTGAGACGGAAATGACATGAGAACCAGCAGCTAGAGACTGGAGGATGGTGGCGGTAGTGGCTGAGCCTGAAGCAAATGCCAGGGCAAACCGGGCATGTTCCAGAGCAGCAACGGCTTCCTCGAAATTGTCGCGATTGGGGTTGGAGCTACGGCTGTATTCGTAGAGACCGACAGGTTTGCCCACAGCAGTCTGTGCAAAGGTGGTGGACAGAGAAAGAGGTTCAATTACAGCTCCAGTCGAGGGGTCGTGTGGGGATCCTGCATGGACGGCGAGGGTGCCAAAATTGTGAACGGGAGATGGAGCCCGAGCTGGAGTGTCGATTCCTCCTTGGTCGTTGGTGAGGATTCGTTCATTTGGACGGAGAGGACGAGGCGACAGTGGGACGGTCATTTTAACGGGTGTGGATGTTGAAGGAGAGAGGTAGACAAGCGGGAAAAAAAGTTGATGCTGGAGGAGGGTGGCGTTAGAAATCAAGTAGCTGATGAATACGAGGAGCGATGGAGGTGGAGTGGTGGTTGTGGTGGTGGTTGTGGTGGTGGATTTTCCCACTTCTCCAACCCAAGGGCGCAGACGTTGAATCCTTGGCCGTGGAGAGTCTTTATTCAAAATCTCGAGTCAAATTGCTCGCTGAGAAGCGTACGCGTACTTTAATATGTCGACAGAAGAAGAGGATGAGAGATTTAATGAGTGAAGCAATCAGTCACAATGAGTTTTGTGGTGAAGATATGAGATGATTGTCGAATACATTATAATCACTCGTACAGTGGCAAGATGAAGATGACGTGCTTGGAGAGGAACCTTAGGCCTGGGACCTGCTGAACCTGGATGACGATTTAACTGGCGGATTGGGGTTTAGAGTCTCCGTATTGAGTTGCATAACAGGGCTTTAGGGGGATGCTTTAACTAATGGCTAGGCGCCAAAGGTCGAGGTTTGCAGATTCTTAAGCAGGTCCTTGGAAGAACCCTGAGACCCCGCACTGACACTGGCACTGGCACTGGCACTGGCGTAGTCTCCAACCTTCTGCGGCTCAAAGTACAGACATCATACGAGTACCTAATGCATTGCCTACAGATCCTGTACACATGGGCAGTTGATCAGTCATCCAACGGCGCCGAGCTTTGACAGGCACAAGGTTTAACAAAAAGGGCGTCATGTTGTGCTTGGAAATAGAATAATAGAATCATGACAAATGAAAGTCATTGGACCCCTCCAGCCTCCAATACACCAATGCCATTCAGACACTGCTTGGTCGTGCACTGGTAATGCCAGGGCAGGGATGTTGTGCCTATGTGTAACCTACGAGGACAATGAGTCAATCAATGACACCTTCTATGCATTTTTGATCCTTTGTTACATCTCTGGGCTTGGTGATTTGATACATATCCACCCCGCTTAGCCACGGATAACACTTTTCACGTTGGTAGAGGAATTACTCCAGTCATGTTCATAGACATGTTTGATTCAATCATAATTCCAGCTTTGGATGGTCCAGGTGGTGATAGAGGTAACACGCCCTACTCACCACCATTCAACGCCACCTAGTCCAGCCTGATCCATCGCAGCCTGAATTGAATATGAAGTGTTCAAGGTCTCGTCTTCTTCATCCGAGTCTTTAATACTCGAGTTCTTCTGTATCAGGGTCGGCCATTTCTCAGCTTCGACTCGAACATTGACAATCACACTGGGATCGAAAAAGAATTCCTCGCCTTCAGTTTTCCACACCCACACCTTCTCGGCCTCATTACTGCGCCAAATGTCAGTTCCTATTCCCAATCCGCTGGCATTCGACAATTGTCTCTTACTATTGACAATCCTCAAACAACATGCCCGAAGGTACAAAGATGTTTTCAAAGAATTGTGTCGTCACGTAGATACCTTTGGGTGTACATTTGTGCACAATCCCTGTAATGACCTCGCCTTTGAACGGTCGAAACACCATCATGCGAAATTCCACTGTCAAGACCTGGTCAGCTTCGTATTCAAAAGGCCGCACCAGCGTCTCGTCATGGATTTTACTTACCGTTGACATTGACGTTGCCATTTCCATTGCCAATCAACCCATCAGACGCCTTGAGCAGATCGTACATACATATACACAGTCCAACTTTGGGAATTACCTAATAGTTGAGGTCAGCTAGTGATAGGCTTGCTCGTGCATGTCTCCTACCCTGTTAGAGTATTTCTCATTGATCCTGTCCTCGAGATCATTTCGAGTGATTTGATTATCTTTGAACGCATGAGGAGGGATCTGCACGAGATCTGAGATGGTGGTCTGTAGGAAAAAAGTCATTGTCAGCCACGCAAATGAGCAATACTGCAGAATCCTTCTTTTTTAACGTACCAGGATGAACATATTGGCTCAGGTCAGGGTACTCGCTGAGACGTCGGCTGCTCGAGGATTGATCGGCCAGGCATTTCTGGAATAGGGCAATGTTCTTTACGCCATATCGATCCAGGTATTGATATGTACGGTACGAACGTGGTCGAGAGGGGCTGATATCCTGGAGCGACTTGAACGGTGGAAAAATATCAAACTTAGCGCCTGTGGAGCCCGGACACTCCATCCAGAGGCGCGAGGGGCGGCAAAGATGCCTCATACAGCTAATCACTTTGATAAAACTTATTAGTGACATTCTTTGTTCCCCAATCCTGCAAATCACCCGCAGACATCAAACAACATTTTTGAATCGCATCCTCAACCTGAGGCACACTTTTATCCAGAACATTCACAACAACTTCTGGCGACCAAGTACTCTAGACTTTAATTCGGCAAAGACACCTCGGAACAATGCAATAATGTCACCGTTTCCTTCTCCGAGGCCATGTCGAATCAGCCATTCACTTTCCCTCCTCCACCTCCGCCTCCACCAAAACCCACAGTAGACCCGACACAACAGCGGAACAACGATTTCACAGGTGGGAGAGGAGGTTACAGAGGATGGCGTGGTGATTCATTCCGAGGACAAGGGCACAACCGTGGTGGCGGTCGGGGAAATCACCGAGGCGGAGGCGGAGGGCGCAACCACACCCAACATTACGGCCAAAACACCTCTAGTCGTCCATACAACAATAACAACTATTCACAACCTACTCACTCATATCCCCCCCAGAAGCGCACTCATAACACAGCGTTCACACCCGCTCCGAACGCTCGCCCTCGACCCCTCGCGCCTCCTCCCGTCCCCAGTTTTAACGCTACAATCCCCCACCTCCTTCCCAATAAACCCATCCTAACACCACCAGACCACACGCCAACTCCAACCAAAAGCACACAACCCACCAAACCACCAGCAAAGAAGAACCTCCTTGGCCTGACCCCTTCCCTCCCTGGCGACTCCTCATCTTCAGAAGACGAAGACGAAGAACACCATCTCTCCACGACCGTCAACTCCACCTCCCAGGGACAAGGCTATTCATTCACCCATAACGGAAGAGTCGCAACCCTACGAACGGCAGCCGACATACAAGCATGGATAGCCGAACGAAGGAAGAATTTCCCCACGGCAGCCAAAGCAGAAGCAGCAAAGAAAGAACGAGAAGAAAAGAAGAAGAAATGGCTGGAAGAGAAAGAGGAACAACGTCGGCAACGAGAGGCGAAGAAGGTTGAGAGACAACGAAAGTATGAAGAAGAGAAACAAGCGAGACAGTCAGCGAGACAAGCAGCCGTGGCTGAAAAACAGGGTGCACCAAATGGAGCAGGATCTAAGGAAGGAGGAGGTACATCAAACGCAGGTCCTAAAAACGAGGTGGTGGATTCACCTGCTGAAAAACTGCGGCGAAGGGCTGAAAAGGCAGAACGAGCGTTGAAAAGGGCTGAGGAGGCATTGAGGCAGGTTAGATTGAAACAGGCACAAGCACAAGCACAAGCCCAGGCCGAAGCGAATGGGATGGACGGGGTCACTGTGTCATCTCAATCAGCTATTCCAGATACGGCCATCGACCCAGACGCAACTTCATCGTCCGGCTCATCAGACAGTGACACCGGCACAGACTCAGACTCGGAAATCGAAGGCCATCTCGATATATCCTCCTTCATTGGATCACATCCAGACTCCGACTCCGACTTGGAATCAAATCCAGGCGATAATGACAACGACGACGACAACGAGGCACCCCCTGAAACCATCAGCACCAAAGATCCCAGTCTTCTTAGCCACACCAACCCCCTCTCTTCCGATGCCGACGCCGACGCCACAAAAGCCCTCACCCGAAACAGTCGACCATGCAAAAACCTTGTTCAACGCGGTCGATGTCATTTTGGATCGAGTTGTCGATATTCGCACGACTTGGATCAAGTGAAAAGGAATGAGGAAGTGTCACGGACTCGTGGGCGTGGTGGGAAGACTATAAAGGGGAAATCGGGTGTGGCGACGAAACCAGAGCGGAGGAAGGGTTTGTTTCAGGTCATGGTGGATAAAGAGGAGGAGGAGAGACGGAAGAATATCATTGATGCGATTTTCCTGTTGCGGGAGAAGGGGATGTTGGATGAGCCGGAGCAGAAGACTGAGCCGGACTCCGTGGCTGGGTCAATTGGACAGCAGCCTGTGGAGGTGTCAAACTCGAATTAAATTAATATCACTATCCTCGCACATACCAACGCCATGCCTGCTATATTCTATCCTTCATAAACACCTGTTATTCTTACAAGATGGGTAGGAGACGATAACATCAATCCCCCATGATGACATCTTCCAACCACTCCAAGCCCTCTCTTCCCTCCCTAATTCCCCTGATGCCCTTTCCCGCTGTTAAAGGGAAACAGTGCATTTGACCCTCCCATACCAACCATTTACCTCGAACTCCGTACCTCTCACATTTCTGCATGAACAATTTGGCGTCAGGGGAAAGGACATCGAATGTCCCAAATACGCCGTGGATCTGGATATCCTTGCTCGCCAGGCCGCGAAAAGCATCTTCACTGTTCAACAATGGAGACAACTGCGGATCATCCACAGAGAGGAGGCTTGCGTCGTCTGGCTTCGTGTCGGAGGGCTTCTTCGAAGAACTCCCCGTTGACCAGATCTGGCCCACATCGCCAGTGAGTTTGGCCGTCAGCACCGGATCAAGTCGATCCATCTGTTGGATTTCGGGGTTGATATTGCGGAGATCTACAGCAGGACTGATGGCGATAATGGAAACCAGCGGTGAAGACTTCTTTGGACGGGTGTTGCGGGGCACACCTTCTTTTGATCCGAGTTCTGAATCAAAGTGAGCCACAGCCGAAGGTACCTTGTAATGCTCTGAAGCCCAGAACCCAAGACTGAGGGCTAGGTTTCCTCCAGATGAATCCCCCATTAGAGTTACTTTGTCGCCAGACTGAACAGCGTTGTCGAGAGTGGCCGACAGCCACTTTTGAAGTATGGGAAGGGACTTGTGTGCCGGCGAGTGAGGTGCTAAAGGATACGAAACGAGGGTCAGGAGTGGCTCCGGACGATTTGGAACCTGGGTTTGGGATCGACGGTACAAATCTCGTGACAGCCGACGTAAAAAAACGCGGTGTTGGTTAGAAGGTCGCATCTGGAAACCGCCACCATGGAAATAATAGATCTGATGTGCTGGACGAGCGCCATGGCCTTGCGGCGAGGCTGCTGACGATTTAGTCTGGTAGGTGTACTGCCAGACCGATTCCACTTGGGACTCAATAACCTCAAGGTCTTCTTTATGGGGTGGGATCAAGCGTATCGAACCTCCAGGCTGTTGGTTGGACGAGCTGGCGAGTTTAGGTCGTAGGGGTTTGATGATGGTGCGGACGAAACGATATAAGAGACTGAGATCATCGCGAGTAGTGATTTGTATTGACGAGGATTCTGTAGGGGTGGTATCTTCGTCGGTCGGCCGTGGTGTCTGCTCTTCTCGGGGGTTAGCTGCCATGACACTGTAGGAGGAAATAGTATAGAGTACGGGGTGAAAGTGATCAGGACCAACAGATGGTTTGAAAGCCTTTGGTGAATAAGAGGATGTTCCGGGCCCCACGAGTTTAATCAGACGACCATAAGAGACAGCCTCTTCCTGGATGTTGCGGTATCGTATGCATTTCTTCAGGAGAGTGATGACGTCGGTGATGGTTGAAGCGAGGATCCATGGATGTGACAGGGCACCAGGTTTAACCTTGGTTTGCCGGGGGGGGCCCTCGGGCTGGATGGATGAAATCATCTCGTCAATTGACCGATCGGTGGAGTAAAAAGTGTCAGAGGAGATCGAGGCTAGAAACGCAAGCCTACGAGGACGGTAGTTTAGTCGTGGTTGCCCGTTTGGCTGCAAGAGCCGCACGTGCTGTCGCCGGGGGATGACGTCGTCGCCTAAGCAAGGCAAGTACAGCTGTTGATAGCATCTGCATAAGTCACATCTTCCCTCCTATACCTCTTGAATGCCATCACATACCATCCAATGCCAGCAAAACGGACACAGGTACCTCACACTCAATGATAAAGATAAATAACCAATCCTCTCTCCTTACTTACGTGAGGTGTAATCAACTAAGCTTCCCTCACATCATGTTGGTTCCAGACAGCCGTCCCTGCCTCTTAACAACAATCCTTCTATCCAATACTAAAAAGGCAGGTGCAGCACAGTACTACTAGTAGCCTGAGGGTCGCTTGTCTAGTCGCTACTTCCACCTTTCCTTTCCGCACCTTCCATCTCATTCTCCCAGGCATCCAACCCCCAATCTCGCATTCTCCCATCACAACCTTTTCATTCTCTCTTCAGCCTCATCTCTGCAAACCCATGTCTTTTCCTGTCACTTTCTCCCTCCTCAGCCGTCGGAAAACACTGACTGTAGTAGGCCGAGAACGGCTGCTCCAAACCCTGAGTCGTCGTCTTGGTTCCCCGCTCCTGCGTCGTCGTCTTGGTTCGCCGCTCCTGAGTCGTCGTCTTTGTTCTCCTTGCGGTCATTTGCTGAGCCACTCGCTGCCGTCTCATACCGATCGTTGCGCGATGGTGGAGGTGCCTTTGACTGGTATTTGGGCGCCTTGTATTTCTGTGACCCTCCGAACAACGGAACTGCTGGATTGTCTTTCCCGGCCATGTTTGATGTTGCTGCTGTCTGATCTCGAGATCCTGGCGTAGATTTCTTCTACTGTCCTGCCTGGCTGGGTAATAGTGGCACCTCCGGCGGGTTCAAGTTGGCTTGATTGCACGAGGGGAATTATCGAGTCTCCTGCAACGAGTGTCATGAAGAAAGGTATGCGACCGACCTTTTAACTCTTTTCACTGAACCGAGTCTCGTATATCACACGCCCTCTCGCCCCATGAACCACCAAGCCTGCCTTGGGGGGCGGAGCTGGTTTCGTATATATCACACCCTCTCGCACCGCGAACCACCAAGGCTGCCTTGGGGGGGCGGAGCTGATTGATTGTTTCTACAACCCTTCAGTTGTTAGAGGCAAGTCTCTTGTCACTGAGCCGAGTCTCGTATATCACACACCCTCTCGCGCAGCGAACCAACAAGCCTGCCTTGGGGGCGCAGATGGTTTCGTATATCACACACCCTCTCGCGCCGTGAACCACCAAGGCTGCCTTGGGGGGCGGGGCTGATTGATTGTTTTCGCAACCCTTCAGTTGTTAGAGGCAAGTCTCCTGTCACTGAGTCGAGTCTCGTATATCACACACCCTCTCGCGTAGCGAACCACCAAGACTGCCTTGGGGGCCGGAGCTGATTGATGGTTTTCACAACCGGTCAGTTGTTAGCGGCAAGCCGCGTGACCTTCTCGGCTGACGGGTCGCCAACCATCCATCGCTTGATACCGACCCTCTGGATGGGCTGGCCAAGTCACTCGTCTTTGCTAACTGATTCCCTTTTCGGTGGCATGTGACAACAGTTTCGAACCATTTTGATATAAGAGTCACACAATTGAATCGCTCGCCACTGCACTTGTCACAGTATTCAGCCCCACCAATCCTTGACATGTCTACAGCGAGCAGGTCGCCCCGACAATCCAAGGAGTTCGAATCTAAGCGTTGGAAGTACCTTGGATACCCCGTGTTCTCGCAATGGCTAGCTTCTGACCACGACTTTTTCCTTGTTCGCCGCTTTGACTGCCTCAATGCACGCGTGATTCTGATGTTGCAATGGGAAATCGTCCTCCTCGAAGACAAGTTGGCCCAGATTGACCAACAAAGGAGTGAACTCACATTTGATGATGTTCACAATGGCTCCTTTGAGGACGATGACCCTGCCCGATTGGCCCTCGTCCGGCAAATCTGTACCAAACTCGAGCGATACAGTCGCCACTCATCTATCCTCGATCCTCAACAACTAGCTGACTTCTGACAGACAATTTTATCGCCCAGTACTCGGCTCTGAAAGAGCGTCCACTTTCAAAGACGCGTGCCATACAAAACCTGGAGAATTGGCGCAACAGCAATCCCGACGCCATTCACCCTTTTGAAAGCGCTTTCATCCACCAGCGAGATGACTTGATCAACGTTGTTGAAATCCCCCGCACCCCCTTGCGATCTTTCCTCGAGCGATTCGACTGCTTTCGTTGGAACAGGGTATTCCAGCATACCCCACACAAGTTCAAACACCCACCCTCCTCTGATGCTACTAACTACGACCCGGAAATCACCAGACACGTCGTCGAAGATCGCATCAATGGCTTTGTGAACGCTGTCATCTGCCTGTGTGGCTTTTTGATGCTCATCATTCCCCTCTGGATTCTTCTTTACACATCCTCTCGCACCGCCCAACTCGGCATCATCACCGCATTTGTTGCCTTGTTCCTAGCCATCGTTCAATCGGTGTCAGTGGCAAGACCCTTTGAAAGCCTTGCCGCTACTGCTGCGTAAGTGCCTAAGGCCAGAAACCATACTTTTAATGACCGTTCTCTAGGTACGCTGCAGTCCTGATGGTGTTTATGCAAATTGGGTCTCAAGACCAGTAGTTGTGCTCCTTAAACAGGCGGCCAATACATGTCGATGCGTCGTAGGCTCCTGTATACGACTGTGACTTGCCAATTAGAGCTGTTCTCCAATAAACGAAGCACATGGCGAGACTCGCTCCTCGCCCCATTAGAGTGTGCATGATCAAGACACCAGCTGAACCTTGGCATGCAAGGCGGACTCCCAGCCTGGACCGGGGCCTGGTTGCAACGGCTGACCACCCAATGCATCCGACTGTCCCGTGGCTCTGTCAAAGTCGACTAAAATTCCACATTAGAAAAAGAGGAGGTCGCAGAGTATGCAAACTGGGGTCTCATACCAAGGCTTTATTGTGATGTGGCATCAATCTGGTTGTTGGGAGAGGAACTTCAACCACAACTGAATCTTCGATCTTCTCCCCAAGAGGCTGTGAGCAATAAGTATCTAGAAACCCACCATTAATGGCTTCATGCTGCATCCTAGTTCATAAATCATCTACCATGATTTCATAGATAATAGGCGAAATGCGTTGTCAAATTTGGCTTGTATCCGTACCTTCCTTGTGATCTTCAAAGCATATCCTGCCAAGCATTACCTGAATCCCATTGGCCCATCGGAGTCGGCCCCTCGACTTTTGTCCCCGTGATTTTTGCCTCCATATAAAACTTTTTTGAGATTCACTTCCGTCACTCCACAACAACATTAGCAAATACAGTCCATCTGTCTCAGGATCGACTCTTAATATGGTCGGAAACGATGAAAGGTAACAAACGCTCTGCAGCCGAGGCATTCGGAAACCACAACCAACCATCACTCCTGACAAAACATCGGTCAAAGGCGACTACTAACGGTAGTGCACCATCTCCCACTGCAAAGATCGTGCACTTTCATGACGACCAGGGCCAGGCCGGCGAGGAAAGCGAGAAAACACGGAGCGACCACTATGCATCCTCTCTTGCCAACAAACAAAATAAAATTGGATCCTTGAAGCAGCGGGCGCAAGAACTTGTCAGTACTCGCCAGAGACTTCCAATCTACTCCCATGCAGATGCTATCCGCCACAAACTTCGAATACACAATGTCCTTCTGTTGGTCGGAGAGACTGGATCTGGAAAATCAACCCAGATCCCTCAATTCCTCATCAACGAACCTTGGTGTCAGAGAAAGACCAAGACCAAGTCAGGGATTGCCGTCGGAGGATGCATCGCCATCACCCAGCCCCGACGAGTTGCCGCCATCTCTCTGGCACGACGTGTCGCCGAGGAAATGGGGACTCCCTTGGGTAACTCAAGTCCCGCTTCGCAGGTCGGGTACTCGGTTAGATTTGAGAACAGCACTAGCCCGAGCACAAGGATCAAGTTTCTTACTGAAGGCATGCTGCTTCAGGAAATGTTGCGAGATCCTTGGCTCAAGGAGTACTCGGCCGTCGTCGTGGATGAAGTCCACGAAAGAGGTGTCAACGTGGATTTAGTACTGGGGTTCTTGCAAAGAATGCAAAACGTCAAGAAAAAGGACGATGGACGAGCCGGAGTGCCGATGAAGGTTGTGGTCATGAGTGCTACAGCCGACATGGACATGATCAAGGACTTTTTCTCTGCTGACCCTAAGGACTCTGGGCCTAGTCCCTCGCCAGGCGAGCCAGGTACGAAAACCGCAGACAAGGATCAGACTCGTTCCAAACCTTCAACTTCATCCTTCATCTCAACATCCCTGCACATCAAAGGTCGACAACACCCCGTCACAATCAACTATACTCCTACCCCTGTCCCGGACATTCTCGATGCCGCTTATCAAAGAATCGTCCACATCCACACCTCATGTCCATTACCCGGCGACATTCTAGTATTTCTAACTGGACAAGAAACCGTCGAATCGCTTCTTCAACTGCTCACATCCTACTCCAACACCATCGCCTCAGATCCCTCTCTGTCACGGAGCCTCCCAAAACTCCTCCTCCTCCCCCTCTACGCCGCACTTCCCTCCCATCTCCAACAACGAGTCTTCACCGCAACTCCCAAATTCACACGCAAAATCATCCTATCCACCAATATCGCCGAAACCAGTATCACCGTCCCGGGAATCCGACATGTCGTCGATACAGGGAAAGCCAAACAACGACTATTCCGGCCCTCTCTAAATCTCGACACGTTACTCACCGTACCCATTTCTCGGTCATCCGCTAATCAACGGTCCGGCCGAGCCGGTCGAGACGCCCCAGGTACGGCATGGAGATTGTACACAGAATCCGACTTCTGGAAACTGTCGCAAGACACACAACCGGAGATTCTACGATGTGATCTGTCCCAGCTCGCCCTAACGCTCAAATCGCATGGAGTCGAACAGATCAACACATTCCCATTCTTGACCGAACCGCCGAAACGTGCTTTGGAAAGGGCATTGGTACACTTACTCCAATTATCCGCACTCGACCCATCCAACGGCAGCATCACCGAGCTAGGCCGTCAGATGAGCGCTTTGCCTTTACCCGCCAACCTGGCCAGAGTGTTTCTCGCAAGTGCTCGTCCTGAGTATTCATGTATCGAGGAAATCATCGATATTGTCTCCGCACTCAGTGTCGAGAACATCTTCCTCAACATCCAGCATTCACATGTCAAATCTACAGAAAATAAGTCTGTCGGTGTTGATGGCCACGCACATGTCAATGTCAATGCTAATACCAATGCCAATGCCAATGCCAATGGCGACCACGACTCCGATTCCGATTCTGGTGATAACACCGCCACTACACTTCGTCGTCAACTATATCGTCGCGAAGGTGACCATCTGACGCTTCTTGCGGCGATGCAAGCCTACACTGCCGAAGCTGCCGATCGAAAACGTTGGTGTTCCGAACGATACATCAGTCATCGGGCAATGAGTGGTGCAATGGATGTGCGGAAACAGTTGACGGCGATTATGGCGCGGTATACTGCTACGCGTCATCAACATGGTAGTGGAGGTAAAACTGCCGGGGCAACTGCCACTACCTCGTCGAAGAAAAACAAGAAGAAGAATAAAAACAAGAGTGATCAGAAGGAGGAAGACCAAGATGGTAAAGAAGAACAAGAGAACCACACCACTACCACTACCGATATCAATACCACCAACAAAGTCTCCTCCAGCACCTCACCCTCCGACCAAGACCTTCCCCCCCTCCCAACCCGCATCCTTCGCTGCCTTCTCACTGGCTTCCACACAAACGTCGCCCGTCTATCCCACGACGGCAGTTATCGCACCATCTTGACCAATCAAGTCGTTGCCATTCATCCCAGCAGCGTCTTATTCTCCATTCCCAACAGTACCAGCAGCGGTGACAATGACGATGAATCGACTAATGGTGGTGCGAAAAGGTCAAAGGGATCGGCACGTGGAGGAGGGCCCGGTGTCAAGAAATTCGAGGCTATTATGTATAATGAGTTTGTGTATACAGGTACAAAGGCTTATGCTCGGGGTGTGAGTGCAGTGGAGATGGGGTGGGTGGCGGAGGCGGTTAAGCTGAATTCGGGGAGATGATCATATGTAGAGGGAATTAAAATTGGATTTGAGGATGGATGGTGGAAAAGGGAAGGTTGGGATAGAATCGACCCAAGCTGAAACAGACTACACGATTGGAAAGTGATTAGCACGATAATGATTGATTCTCTATGTCGGGCTTAAATCTATATCGATATCAAAGTCGATAGTGTTACAACCATTTTATACTTCCTACAAGCATTCTCGCTGATCAATCCCCCTTCTTTTGTTCTATTACGACGCATGGTCCTTTTGATCTCTATTCTTCATCGTCGTCAAGAGGAATCCCGGCTCGCTTCTTCCACGTGACCATGTCGCCCTTGAGACCTTCAATGGTGCGTTGGATCTTGCGTCGCAACACAATAGAATCGTAAGCAGCCAGGTTATTCTCCTGTTCTTTGATCTTGGCCGCGAAATCGGCCACTCGTTCTCTGGCATTTCGAACTTCCTCGTCTTCTTCCTTCTGTGCATCATCAATGTCGTCGTCATCACCCTCGTCTTCATCGTCCTCGTCCTCGTCTGATGAATGCTCGTGTGCCGAGGCGGGAGTGGGAGCTGCCGTAACCATGGGCGAGGCCGAATTACTGGTAACGGCCAGTGATGAGTCGCCACCTTCAGCGGCGAGACGTCCGAGAGGAAGAGGCTCAACGCTGGGTTCGGTCGGAGCAACAGGCTCGTCGAACATGCCCTCGAGATCTGCGAGCTCGTCCTCGCCAATTTCTTCCTCTTCCTCTGCAGGGGCGTCGAGTTCCATGGGTGTTTCGACATAGTCGCCTTGTTGGCCGTTGCGGTTGTCGAAATAGCCTGACATATCATCGTCTTCGCCTTCGGCGTCTTCGTCGTAGTCCGACTCGGCCGACTCGTTTTCATCGACGGCTCCGCGTGGATCATGGTCGAGGACCTGATAATTGACTGTGGTAGCCGCCTTGTCCTGTTCCAATAGCTGAGCCACTCTTCGTTCGACGGCTTCGATATCGTCCACTCGTGCGCGTTTGGTCCGGTTGAAGCGCCTCTTACGAACCCATTTCATGGGCGCTGTAATTCCATGGGCGTATTGATATGTCTTCTCGTCCACATCGGGCGGGAGGGGGTAATTTTTAGCTTCCTCCTCGTTGCTGCATTTTCCCAGCACGAGCAACATCTGTGAAACATCAATGCTTTTGATCCAGCTCTTTTTGTCCCATGACTTCATGCCTTCGATAATGCAGGGTAGATCAACCAGGCTTGTGGCGTAGGAATTGTCTTTGATCTTGAGGATTCCCCTTCGACCCAAATGATCCAGCATCTTGATGCTGATAGCAGGGCCTTTTTCAGTTCTCAGAAGTCCCAAGGTGCCCTCTTCAACGGCCTTGCGTAGATAATCACAGTCAGGCCCAGGCTCCATGCGCAAGATGAAGCCTTCCAGAATGACCGGGTCATTCTCTCTCTCGTCGAGTTCGGAATCGTAGCCTACACCCACTGGTCTCTTGGGAACCTTTCCCTTTTGCTTCAACTTGATGATGGGTGCAGGAGTTTGGGCGGTCTTGGAGGACTGCGCATGTGAATTTTTGAAAGTGATTTTAGGCCGGGCAGGCGCAGATGCAGGCCCGGAAAGCTCATCTTCGGATCCCTGAACGACCGACTGACGTTTCTGCTTCTTTTTAACGGAGCCAGACTGATCGTCATTCTGCGCTTTGCTCTTGCGCTTTACAGAAGTGGCCGAGGCCGGGGTAGGAGGACCAAGAGGAGTTCCGCCTCCGAATTTCAACTTGATGGAGGGAGTGCGAATGGCACTTTGAGGAGCGGGTGTCTGAACTGCCGACGTATTATCCGTCTGAGGAATGGCAGGCTTACTGAAGCTGATCTTCAAGGTGGGACGTTCAGGTCTGGGAGGTGGTGGAGAACCCGACATGTCTGCGAGGTCGTCGAGGGAGTTGCGCGTTTCGGTTATTGCAGTATTGAAACTGGAGTCGGAATTGGGCGGGGTTTCATTCTCCTGATCAGACGGCGCAAAGGTGACTTGCTTCTTCCTACTTATGGCGCGAGTTTGCAGAGGAGTTGGATGAGAAGGTGTTGAGCGTTGACTTGGGGCTCGTCTGAACTTAAGGATTATTGGTTGAGAGCCATGACTGTTTGGAGTGCCGTCCACAGCGTCAGAGCCTATTTGGCTGCCTGCAGGGATCAGCCGCGTGAAAGCAGAGGCGCTGGAGGCGGACATGGCGGACTCACTTGCGGGGTCTTGATTGGCAGGACTTCCGTCATCAGCTCCGGCGCTTGGACGATCTTGGCTTCGTTGTGAGTCGGCGAGACTCTTATTTTGTTTGTTCCGTGAACGAAGATTCATCGTGCCGGTGTCCTTATCATATACAGAGCTCGAATCATATGGTGGATATCGCAGTAAAAGGTCCGAAGGAAGTTTGAGAGTGACAAACGAAGTACAGGGTCTGGCTGGTTCCTTCTTGGAGGTTGACTGGTTGGGCAAAGCTCTTTTGTCTGTGTGGTTGTTGGTGTTTCGAGGAGCCATCGTGACTTCTGCAGACTGCGTTTTTGATCGAGAATCTGGATTGAGTTGAATCGCAGGAGGAAGGAGCCACCCAGGGTGACGCGTGTAATGTTGAAAGAGGAAAGCGCGCGTGTTTGAAAGGAACTGCAACGGCAACTGCGATGGACTGCGTCACTTGATCTGCAGACAGCAAGAGCGAGTGTCAGCCAAATTTTCATCGACTCGTCCACCATCACAATCACATCTCACAGCTCACAGCTCACAGCTCACTCTGCAGCTCGACAGGATGGCTTCAGGCGACTTACACGCAGAGCTCTTGCGTCCTGCAGTCCTGCAGATTTTACGTGCAGCCGGCTTCGGGTATGCCCGTCCAGTTGTTGTCGACACTGTGACCGATCTAGCAGCCCGCTATCTCAATCTTTTGGCCTCGTCTACCGCTCAGAGCGCCTTTATCACACACAACACCAATGTCCCCACGATCCAGGATGTTCGAATTGCTCTCACACTCGCGGGGGCGCTGGTGCCTCAGATGGGCGCGGCGGAGGAGAATCTCAAGGATGATGTAGAGATCGATGGGGTGATGGTGCCGTTCGAAGATCTGCGTGGCGTGCAGAATTTTGTCAATTGGGCTCAAGGCCCTGTAAACAAGGAAATTCGAAGGGTTGCGGGATTCGAAGATGACTCGAATCTCGAAGAGATTGCGGGGTTGGATGATCAAGAAGACTACTTGACCGGTGAGTTTGAATCGTGAGCAAGTTGAGAATTGGTGGGCAAGATCTCTGATTATCACGGCAGCAATTAAAAAGAAACACAGCAAGACAGGTGAAGAATCTCGTTTTCAAGGCACCGTTCTAGGAAAAGACGCCGATCTACAGCAGGTGACAATTGTCGGCGGTCCAGCCTCGTCAATGGCTGAATGGACAAAACTGGCATTGTCTGGCATCAACACACCTCGATCTCCTTCACACATGGCTTCACAATCACACACTGAAGAAGCTGCCACTCCAGCCTCTTCGGGCATTAGCAGCGCCCCTCTCACCCCTATCGAGTCACCTTAGGAGCTGACTCACCCTCGTGACGCCCAGTTAATATCATGGTCGATACAATATCACCATCAGCAATTCACTCAACTTTGAGGTTCAAGTGGATCCCAGCCACCTCCCATGATCTACGAGTACACCAAAAATGACACAACGATGGAAGCAGATCTCAAAAATTCTCGTCAAAGCAGGATACTTCTAGCGATCACTAATAATACTCGATGCAAAGAAGTCAGTCATGTGACTGATATTACTCAAGTTTCAAATCCATACATTTTCACGTGTAGTGCAAGCTTTCGACTCTTCCTGCGCGCCACTGACTCAGTTCTCCCTGCACTTCAGACCGGCGAAGAAATCTCTTCACATGTTTGCTCTGCCTCGTCTTCCTCTCACGAGTTCTCCCGGGCCAACTGTCACTCTTTTCACAACCACCACCTGGGGCGTTGTGGTCTCAGAAGCGTTGCCAGCAGATGTGAATGAGGTAGAAAAGCTTGACAACGCTACCCCTCCCGTCGATGCCCATGCGATGTCTGACCCGGTACAGCTGACCTGGCGGTTGGTGTTATTGCAAACAGTGGAAGCGTTAAAGTTGTTCTGGCTGCTGGTTGTCGAGACTGCCTCACTGCCCGCAACACCAGCATTAATGGTTGTGTTTCGACTCGGTGCCAGGTCGCTGCATGTGCCATTGATGCACACAAAAGTGGCTGTCCCCGTACTTGGGACGGTAAACGGCGGCACCGTCACAGACACCGAAACTGTGGTGATAGAGATATTCAGGACGGTCGTTTCGTTGCCCCAAGCGAAAGTTGTTGGCTCTGCTGAACCCGAGGTTGACGTGATGTTGGACCATGAAGTTGGGGATGACACATTGGTCCAGTGAATACTACTGCTTTGACCATCTGTGCAGGGCGGCGGCCAGGCAGAGATGGTTGTGTTAGCATCGCTGCGAGAATTAACAGAATACACAGGCCTTGAGCATGCCTTGGCTGTAGTAGTACTGGAGTTCCAAGCATACAGCGTCGTGGTACTCGACTCTACCGCAATTGGGCCGACGTTGGTCAAGCCAGTAGTTGAAGCACTTGTCTGCGATGGTCGAGTCCCTATTGCCGTAGTTGTGTTGCTTGGCCACTGCTCAGTAAATTCTATAGGTGGTCCAGCCGTCTGGTTAGACGGTCGTCGTCGTGGACGGTCAATTGTAAGAGTGACTTGCGTTGGCACCGTGGTGATGTTAAGTGTGATCACTTCTCTGCCATCGTCGGTTGTTTCAGAGGACGGGCCATCTGTCCAAGTACGAGTCGTGTTCGCAAATGGAGCTGTAGTAATAGTTGGAGTCCAAGTCGCTGAGTTCCAGGTACTGGTACTGTTGACTGGCAAACTTGTGGAGCTTGAGTTGGAGCTTCCGTTATTCGAAGATGGAGATGTGGTGTTTGCAGGTAGTCCAGACGTACTGGTTGCTTGCCCTGCGTCGATGGTTGACGTGGCATTGTCGGCATAAGTCACGTTGTGTCCAGTCACAGTCGTCACGTTTGGAGGATTGATGTGGCTTCTGGTCGGTATTGCAGGCCAAGCAGATATACAAGATCCATTATATCCTCCGTAGCTTACGCAGAAAGGTGGGGGAGTTCTTGCCGGTCTTGGATAGGGATCAGTGTGGTTTTCACATGGAGGGGTTGCATTGTAGCCGGCGACTTTTGCTTGGTTAGTTTCTTTGGTCTCCTCTGTTGCTTCGAAATAAATTGAACTGACCGCTCGATTGGTCGGCCTGGCACTGTACCAAGCTGATGAGGTAGTAAATGAATATCAAAGAAAGTGTGGCGGTCATCGTGCTGGCCTGCCTTGTATACTGGATCAAAACGAGTGTGGTGGCTGGCGAAGAGTTGAGTAGGTGTCTGTTCCAACAAGTACATGGTATTTATTTGAATTCCAGAAGCCCTCTGAGGACCAGGGATCAGTAGCCATTGTGACTGACCTACTCTGCGTACGCTGTCGAGACTTGACTGATCCGCACTGGAGATTGACCTTCATCTGCGTGGCCAACCGTTTCATCTCGCGTGGAAGGGAAGCCTCTGTCCGTCCGTGAGGCGGATGAATTTCAAAGCACCATCACTACCACCAGGCAATGAGCTGACCGGTCCTTCCGACGTGCCGTCGTCTCCATGATGAGACGCCTCGTTTGCATCCAGAGACCACTGTGCCCGGTTGTGAGCTGACGTCGGCGAGTCAAAGTTAAAGCTCCGGTCTGCTGCTGCGTCTGAGGTTCTCCGGGTTCCTATCGCCATATGGCGAGGTTACGCTGGACCTATGTTGGAGTTTCAGACAAAAATCCTCGTCGAAAGATGTTTTTGTGAAAGTGACGTCGGAGACGACTTGCACGGCTTCATTATTGGGTCCGTTCAACAAGGTCGATGCATCGGGCCCTGGCATCGGTTTCGGTCCGCAGACATTAGCGTTGAGGCAGAGGTAGCACACAACTATGCCCAAGGGCGGTCGTACAAGATACAGGTCATTTTGCCCATTCATCACGTTGATTGAACGAATGTGCGAGTTCGCAAATGAAGGGTGATAGGTCGATCCGACCAAGTGCCATTCGGGGATAGCCCAGTAGCATCCGTTTCGGCTGGTATCTTTTGAGGATGAGGGTCTCGTTCACCATGGGTCAAGTCCATCATCCTGCGGATTGGGCAGGACAGGCAATGCCCTAAAGGGGCTGATCTGTAGAAGAGTGTCCTCGTGTTACAGAAGCGACATGCAAGAAGGCTTGTCTCCAGGTCTATGTAACCTTACTCTTGCCTGCAGATCGAAATTTGAAATCGTCCTGGGGTTGAAACCAAGCGCATGACATCGACAAATGTGCCCCAACTTATGACCATTTGATTCAGATCTTGACCGTCTCTATTGTGCACCTAGTCTGTGCCACGAGGCGCCACCTCTGGAACCCGACCTTTGAAGAGCAGCTTTTGGAGCCACCGTTGGTGGACTAAACCAATGGCAGTAGTCATGGTTGGGTTACACGTTCGCCTAACCAGTGTTGAGTCACGGCTGTTCCAATATCGTTGATATCCTCTGCAAGGTCGAGCGCGTCACCGAGCGCGTCCTGGACTATGTTTGCCATCAAACCGGCCAAGCCACCTGGCTCGTGGAATTCGTGCGGCGCGGTTCTCTGGTCTGGGAGTCCTTTGGTGAGGTTATAGACATGCAGGGCAAGGGTATATCGTTTTCGGAGCAAGAACCACCTTGCCAATGTCTTTGTTCTCAAGTCTGGACTGGCAGGCGAAGATTCAGGAAAGAGTATCCCTGTTGGCTGCGATCCTGATATCCCCGAGATAACTTCAATCCACTGCAGTGAATTGGTGACCTCAGCTTCAAAGGGAATAGGATCATCATGGCATGCATGCAAACGCATCATACTCAACTCGAGCATGGCTAATCGCGACAGGGCAGCGTCATCGCCATATTGCTCCATCCATCCTCTCAGGACATTAGATATCGTTTCCTGCGCGACTGTAGCGTGACCTGCTCGCATGTAGAATTGCGACTGACCCAATTGATGGACGAGGGTTTGATATGCATCACTACCAAAGGTCATAGACAAAGTATTGATGATGCAGGCCATGAGCAGCTGTGTAGTATGGTTACGGGAAGAAGATTCGAAGTCCGTGGTCAATAGCAGAGTTGCTGGATGCTTCATGCCGAAAATCACCCTGGCCATGTCTGCTAGATGCGTTTTCACCTTCGATTGCAGATTGATGGCGGCCGGCATATTGATGCCCGACGCCACCTCAAGCAAGGCAAAGAGTAATTCCGGGTGAGGGTTTCTCAGTAAATCCGGAACACTGTCTAAAGTGTACTTCAAGACCTCGAATGCTGGATTCACTTTGCCCATAGCAAGCAAATCGGAAACAATGTAGAACGACTCTCTAAATGTTTCGATACTGGTGTTGAGATCGTATACTAACGGATCCTGTCGTATTTTGACCGACCAAAAATGGCGGTACTGATACTGTATCCAATTGGAGGACTGCTGAAGAAGAATTTGGACATGTGTTTCATGGCTTGAGGCTTTGACCGAGGTCAAGCTAGGACTCGGCACCTCGACACTATATTGGTCTTGCGTTGGATCCTGGGGCTGCTGCAAGCCTGATACATCAATATTGCTCGTTGTAGCCTCAGAGCTTAGGTCTTGGCTTGCGCTCTGCTCATCATCCCGATCAGCATTCTTTTGATATTGCTCGATTGCAACCAGGCGTTTTTGACGATGGGTACCGGAAGCTACATGGCTTTTCACCTGGCGTTGATTCTGGCCGGATTGATCTCGAACGTCAATGAAGACAAGTTCAGACATGGTGTTGGCGCCAATAATTCGATACGTCGGAATTTATATTGAGAGCCCATTGAGCATTCTTCATCTTGTGACGTGGACTGCCGAGGGACACGTTTTGCCCGAGGCAGAATAAAGAGATTTCAGTACTTTGAAGTTCCAGGTACAACTCTAAAGGAAAAGAAAGTGATCGCTATACCTTGTGCTCGGGGGATAGCTGCTGGCCTCCTCGCTAAGGAATATATGATGTAAGCAGTCAATGTGAAGGCTGCATATATAGTATTTGAGGAGAGCCGGTAATTGGCTCCTCTTCGCGTCACATGTTGGTTGTACTGTATTCTGTTATCCGATCAGATCGACAGCTCGGGCTAGGAGCTCCGTTTTAGACTAGGCATCTGTGTCTAAAGAATGGCGGCCATTTGCTGGGTTTGTAATGCTATCCAGCTGTTTGTTACCTGATGATGTTGGTGTTTCGATGGGGAGAAGCTGGTACAGAAACAAATGGCAAGTTTGCCGAGGAAATATCTACGGTGGAGTACATCTCCCCTCCAACATAAACCTGCGTCTAGCGTCTATAAAATTGCCGTAAATTTTGCAGTCCATGACGCGGTAGATTTCAACGATGCTTCAACGATGCTTCAAGTTGAACACCTCGTCAACCCATATTGTTCCCTGATCTCAGTCGCACTCCACACTTCTGTTCTCAAGATCGAAACTCACCAGACGGAGAACTCTGTATACATCCACCCAGCCAGACGCGCAAAGGTGTCATTCATCCAGGGTCCCCTCCAATCATGAGCTTCCATGTCTGCTCGCAATGCATGCGAGCTTTGCGACAACATGCTCGTAGCGAGGTACGATACTCTCTGTCGCTTCTATCTTTCTTCTCCACCCCTTAGGAGCTAACGAATTTTCTTGACAGGCCTTCACTCTACCCAAGTCCTTGAACATCCACCCCCGACATTTTTCCAAAATGACTCCTCACTCGAAAAGCCCAGATCAGCCAGCGGCACCAAAATCACAGTCGAACAAACCTGTGATTCCGCCGTCAATGGCATCAACAGTGACTACAAATATTGCGGCAGAAAATCCAGAGGTGTCTAAACAACAATCCGAGCCTGCCTTGAATTCATCTTCTCAGCCCAATGTCGCAGCTATGCAGAAACAAATCATGTCCAGCCTCGGTCAGAAAGATGATTTGGCGACCAGACTGGCCAAAGGATTGCGCAAGACCGCCAAGAGCACGACCGAGTCCTATATCACTTACGGCGTAACGGAAGCCATCTTCAATTCTTGCGCAGCCCAAGCAGATTATACCATTCCAGAAGACCAACGGATGAACATCCTGACTGGAAAGGGCCCCCCCAAAACTGCAGACGATGTGGATCTAGGTCAACCACTGGGAAACTCCTGGTGGTTCAGAACTCTCGATCTCCCTCCGACATTTTCCACTTGGTCACAAGTCACCTTTCTGCACATGTACATCATGACGGTGCGATTACGCAACCTCGAAACACCTGCTGCGTTCCGCGACTATCAACGATATCTCATCGAGCACTTCTCCAGCACCGCAGAGGATAAGATGATTCTCCTGCACAACATGTCTGCTCGTGGTATTAGAAACAAATACCTCAAGGATCTCTTTTGGCAATGGCGAGGCGTTCTGGCCGCCTATGACGAAGGACTAATCAAGGGTGATGCAGTGCTGGCAAGTGCCATCTGGCGCAACCTTTTCCGAGGAGATGAGAATGTCGACTGGGACAAAGTTGCTAAAGGGGTGGCGTTTACACGCAAAGGAATAGCCACGGTTGCAAATCTCGATATCCAGACGATTGTCGACCAGTCGGTTGCAGAATCGAATTGGTGGACCAAGGTGCAGCAAGGTCTTCCGGAGCCTTGAATTGGCATATCATGAAGGGTTGTGGTTATTGAGACCAAAAATGCGGAATGAAATTCTTGCAATGCTGGAAGGGGATTCCTCTGTTCACGGAGATTCTTCACTTGTATTTATATATGACATGGCTAGGTTGTCAAAACAAACACACCCCATTCAGGCCCAGGGTTTCTAGAACAGTTGTTCCGTTTGCCATGTCATAATATCATAGATGTTCCAACATCTCAATCAAGGTTACGAAATCAGTACTTGATGAAAAGCGAAGATGACATGACATTGAATAACCCGAAATGGAGTGTAACTAGGTAAGTAGTAGAGTGTAACTAATCAATAAGACAGCACTGCGAGAGGAAGCGGTCCTCATCCTTTGGTCTTCCACAACATTCTCCACAGACAAGACAGCAAGGTAAGAAAGCTTCAACCATTTGCAACGAGCGACAGGCCGGGCAGAGAAAGTGACAGCTGACAGCTGACGTCCGACAAGTGACAGTTGGCAGCATGCGGTGGAATGGTACACCACATGAGGTTGTCAGGTACCAGGGCGTCGGTCCGGTCAGCGTCACTCTCTCCTGCACCAGAGCCGGAAGATGGTTTCAGATGTCCAACCATGCAAAACCTCGATATCTCGACATCTCAGTCGAATTCCCAACATTTTTGTTCTTGCATTTCTGCTTCTCTGGATCTAAATCCACAATATATCAGTCTTGGGAGACACTCGTTCTGATGGATTGCTACCATCGACTTACCATCACACTGTGGAGGATACATCTCGCCTAGTCGTTCTTCCCAGGTCTAAATTCCAGGACGCAGTAGCACAGGCCACCTATCAGGCTTGGCTGGTAGAAGTTCGGGCACAGATGGCCAATCCAGCTGCATTTGACAAAGTTAGGGAGGTTGCTAAGATCACCAGAAGAAGGATTATCGGTTCCGGGAACATTGGTCTGTTCGGGGTAACGGCTTGTGTCTATCTTTGCAGCTTGGAGATCCTCAGGTTTGGCGGCACGAGCAATTAGGGCTTCTTCTGTAGGAGCTACGTGCAGACGTGCAAAGTCGGCTTGTTCAAACTGAGTCGTGCGGTCGGGTCTGAGGTCGACGACCACTTCAGCGATCACCCTGGCCGCCATTTCGTCAAGAAGAGATGTACGATCGGGTCTCAGGTCGGCAATAGCTTCAGCAACCACTCTGGCAGCGGCTTCGTCAAGAGTCGTAATGTTGGATTGGAGGTCGACAATCGCTTCAGCAATTGCTCTGGCGACAGATTCATCGCGAAGAGTCGTAGGATTGAGTTTGAGGTCGATGTTCCCTGCAGCGGCTGCCATACCAGCGGCTCCGTTGAGAATTTGGTGAAGGTCTACCTGTTCGGTGTCCTGGGCAGGGGTTGAAACATCGGAATCTACGTGGGGAAAGGCGCTGATGGTGGATCCAAGAAGGATCAACGACACCACTCCCAAAATCTTACTCGCTGGAGACATGTCGAAACTCGGATTGACAATTTTGGCAGGTCGGGGCAATGCACGATGGGCGGGATCGAGAATGTCTGCATGTCGAAAAGGCGTTTATCAATCAAAACTCGATCCTGGCCTTGCCAACGACGATGGTGGTGCAAGTCTCGGAATTTGGAAGTTTGAACCTGGTTTTGACCGCCGCTGTCAGTTCATGAAGCCGACGTTGTTGTACTACCCCAACACCTCGAGGAGGCGGTCAGCCGGACGGCCTCATTGGGTCAATGCTCCAAAGCCGTCCATGGCGGCCAACTTGTGCCTGGTCTGGGTATTCAAGAGCATGATGACGACGAGAAGACTGGCCGGGGAAGTCTGCTGATGGTTGCCTCTGAGTTTGATCCATGCTCGTGTGCGAACCCCGTCCGGTTCCTCCACACCCTTTGATCGGAGGCTCATAGGCCATCGTACACTATGCACAATCTCACCTTTTACAGACATGTCTGTCATGGCCATGGGAGGGCCGATGGATGACATCGTTGGCAATCGCTAACTCACGAAAATGATCTGTCCTCGTGCCAGGCTGATTCGAGGTCGAGGTGGCAAGGTACAGGTAGCAAACAAGGTTGCATCGATTGAGCTGATGCAACTGTGACTTGACTGAAACTTGCCTTTGAATTTCACAACGCCTGCCATTGGACTTTGGTTGCAACATGGAGCTGACCATCATCTGGGTGAGAACGTCGATCCATGAGTTGCAAACGAGCGAAACCCAAGTAACTACCTACCAGGCCGACCCCCCTGGACTGTTTGATCACAGGAGTGGTAAAACGGATGTAGTATCAAGTTTGTAGATCGTTCGTCATCTTCATCGTGAAAATACAGCTAGAGCAGAACATGACAGGTCAAGTCAAGCAAGGATTTCCAACGCTGCTGATGCTGGATTGAGGTCTAATCTCAGCATTGAAGTGTGGAGAACAGGTAAGATTCGCAACTAGACTCGGTGGTCTGCATAAGCATGTTGCTGAGATTCACCGTCATTCGGTTCTGATAGAGCCTCTGATCTGCAGGAAAGAGTATGAACGGTGAATCGTGAATGAGTGAATGAGCGAACAGATGAAATCTCATCGATTGTGAGTGAAGGTCGTTGAGATGCAGCGAGGAGGAAGTTGCGAACTCGGCCATTGGTGGAGGGCAACGCCTCGGAACGGAAAATCATTCATCCCCTATCGATCTTGACATGTGGCCGCAATTCATCTTTTGAAATGAATTGAATTGATTGTCACTTCTCTACGAATTAGATCTACACTTACTTCTACGACACTGGCTTCAAGTCTCTGGATCACTCCCTCACCACGCTGCTCGCTTGGCTAGAATGAGAATAACAAGTTGAGCCAGTATCCACAGTATCCCTGCTCGCATCGAGCCCACGCCCACGCCCACCTTGGGGTGGACCAACCCTCACAATGCTGATCCTCCAGCTTGTCTCACACCTCCTACCTATCTTCGCCTTGATCGTCTGCTCTCTCGCTGCTGAGGATCTGTACAAAGTCCTTGGACTCGACAAGTCTGCCTCAGATCGCGACCTGAAGAAAGCATATCGAACCCTCTCCAAGAAATACCATCCTGACAAGGCCTCGGGCGACCAGTCCAAGTTTGTCGAGGTGACAGAAGCCTACGAAGCCTTATCCGACCCGACTACACGCAAAATTTATGACCAGTATGGCCATGATGGTCTAGCGAACCACAAGCGAGGGGGTGGTGCCCAACAACACGATCCCTTCGATCTGTTTTCGAAATTCTTCGGAGGTGGAGGACATTTCGGTGGCGGCGGCGGAGGTCTTAGACGAGGGCCTGATCTTGAAGTCAGGCTCTTTGTACCGTTAAGAGACTTTTACACCGGCAAAGAGACGGAGTTCACGATTGAAAAACAGCTCATTTGCGAAAAGTGCGAAGGAACCGGATCTGCCGATGGTCAAGTAGAGACTTGCAACAAGTGTGCTGGCCATGGCATGGTAATTCAAAAGCATATGCTGGCCCCCGGGATCTTCCAACAAGTCCAGAGAACGTGTGATTCTTGTGGAGGACAAGGCAAGACTATCAAACACAAGTGCCCGCAGTGTGGAGGGACCAAGGTCGTACGCGGACCGATCACACTGACAGCCTCGATCGAAAGGGGCGTACCCAAAGGCCACCGAATCGTGTTTGAGAGCGAAGCCGACGAGCACCCAGATCATGTTGCTGGCAATCTCTTTGCCTATGTCATGGAGGGAGAGCCCAAGATTCACGAAGACGAAGCCCACCGCACTGACGGGGCTTTCTTCCGCCGCAAAGACAACGACCTCTACTGGAAAGAAGTCTTGTCGCTACGGGAGGCATGGATGGGAGGGTGGACCCGAAACCTCACTCATCTCGACGGTCACACCGTTCAACTCTCGCGTAAAAGGGGACAGGTTGTTCAACCGGGTCAAGTCGATTCCATCCCTGGTCAAGGCATGCCGCTCTACCATGAGGGTCATGTGCATGAGCACGACCATGACAGCGAGGAGTTTGGCAAATTGTACGTCGAGTACACCGTTGTATTACCAGACCAGATGGGAAGTGGCATGGAAAAAGAGTTCTGGGCCCTGTGGGAGAAATGGCGGACAAAGATCGGCATTGATCTACAGAAAGACAGTGGGAGACCATTGCATATTGTACCACCACGAGATGAGTTATAGACCATTAGAGAATTCAATTTCTTGCCACCTGTACATATCTGCACAAGACCCAGTCACCATTTATCATCATCGTCATTTGGACGACGGACTCTTTTACTAACTTAGTCAAGGGGGTGTGTAGCCTTGCTTATGTCATCGGTCCTTACGTCACGTGGGTATATATCAGAGTCTCTCACGCCCCTTGATCACGACGACATGCAAACATTCATCACTGGCAATCTCAAAGATGCTAGTCCTACTAACATCAAGTCTATGACATCCGTTTATGGTGGGGAGACCATCGATATAACCTTCTACTTCTCGCACGAGCACATTCGCTAGCGCTGGCTGGCGAATGCGTGACGAGCCGCTCTCACGGCAGATATCCCGTGGACACTGAACTTGACGGGTGAGACAATGTCGTGAAACGGGGAGAAGTGTCATTTTGGAGTAGCATCACGTCTCTGAGCTTGTTTCGGTGACAAATACTCCAAGTTCTCTGCAACAGATATTCCTAATGTCTCGGCACTATCTGACGCTATGGAAATGTCCCCCATACTAGGTCTTATTGACACGCGCCGCTGCTCAGAGGTATTGAGCTAGAAAGAATCCGGAGAAAACAGCCCAGATCCACATTCAAGCGACTTCAGTCAAGAACCAGACGACCCTTCGCCAACAATCACTCACTCAAAGCTCGAGCTTTCACCTCGATCAATCCGACCACCCATACTATTGCCGAAATCGTCAGGATCTCGAAACTTGGACTTCTCAGCTTTCTCTTCGGCTGCCATATTTGCACGCTGTTCATGTGTCAGAAAGATCCATCCAGGTGGGACGAGTCCCCGATCAACATTGGACTGCAAGGTATTCACCGCAAGGAAACTGGGAGGCAACTCTGGCACAATTTCGTCACGCTTCTTCGGCCTTGCGCCGGGATCTCGGTGTTGTGCCGAAGAACTCTCGTATGCAAAGTCTCTGACTGACGATCCTGCTGCTTGGATCTCTCGAACTGCACGACTGTTATCTCTGCTGACATGCTCAGCCGCCTCTCTCCATTTTGGCACAATGGCACGGCTTGGTCCCGCTGCTCGCATCGACTCATAACGATCGTCTTGAGTCGGCGAGTCATCTGGATGAGGGTAGTATTCTGGATGACGACCTGCTTGGTTCGCTGTCCCGTACTTCTGAAACCGTCTTTCATAATCTGCACTGCCATCATCTTCGGCGTTGCTTGACCTCGCACCTGAAGTTGAGGATCGAGATGGACCAGCCGCTGTCGCCGACCATTGTTCCCTCAGTTCGGCGAGAGCTGGTTTGGCCTTGCCTGAAATTTTGGCTTTCTTATCGCCATGGCTGTCATCACGTCCCTTACCCTTGCCTTTGCCTCGACCGATAGGTGACATTTGCCATAGTCCCGATTCGTCCGAGGAGGGTGTTTCGGGAGACTCTTCGGCGTCGTGTGCTGGAGAACTGTGATATCTCTCGTGCCTCGCATGCGATGGCAGGGACTATTCCATGTAAGCAATACGCCAAATACATTTCAGAGGTGAGTTGAGGACCATTGAGGTGGTCATTTTCGCTCACCTTGGTGTCGAGCACCGGCAAAGGATTCGAACGAGGAGGCATGGTTGATGTCTTTGAAATTCAAGAAATTCCTGACTACTTGTTGGATATCTTGACAAGGATGAACCTGCTGGTATATGAAATATTTTCGCTTTGGACAGCACAGGAGATGTTCTTACTGTGTTCCTCGATACTTGAACTGATTTTATGTCCCTGAAGTCCAACGCATCCCCGGTGATTGTTCCAATGTGGTGACTATGATGCTACTCAAACGCTTTTCATTATTCAAAAGCCCTCATAGCTAGACACATCTACTTTTTCTCGAGTCGACACTCTCAAACAGCCGCCATAACAGAGGTTGGTCTTCACCCACACAGATGTCCATGTCACGGTACTTGATTTCAATAATGGCATGACGGTGCCATTACAGAATCACAGCGAGCGGTGGCACCTGCTGTATGACTCTACCATTTGCTACCGGCGGCTTCTACGAGTTCGAGCCCGACTCAGTCAGAATCCCAATTTCATGAGTACTCAACCAATGAATATGTGTATTAGAGAAATGGCCCGACTAAGAGCGTACAGCAGATCGCATTAACCCTCACTTGGGCCCCTGGGCTTCGCCCGGGTACTATTTTAGGCCACTGTTTGTAGTCCATTGTCAAAGGACATGGCAATTTGCTCCAACAGAGTAAATTCATCCTGTAAGTGCCGACGGCCCCTTTCCAAATGCCCTGTGGCCTCGCAAATCCTCGCCAATCCCGCCAAATCCATTCTCCCCACATCAAATCACTATATATCTTTTTGTAGATATATTTTGCTATCTAGAATCTTCGGCAAAATCTCTCGTCTGCACTCCGTTCACACTGCGTTGGAACATGGCGTACGCATTGCCCACAGTGGTATCTCTTCTGTCCCGAATTGCCTCGGGGTCTGTTGTGAACTTCTCAGCCCTAAACATCTCCTTGTTGGCAATCTCTTCCGGCGAATCTCCCTCTTGAGGGAACCATTCTGGATAATATCTTCTCCAATTCTCAGTCGAGTAGGTTGCGGCTCTTCTATCACGTTTGTACTGGCGTATTTCTTCTTCGGTCGGTGAGGACTAGAACTGCAGTTAAGCTGTGCCTTGGTCTGGGTGGTCATGGAATACTCACTGCTCTTCTCTCATGTTGACCAACATCCCTTGAAATATCATCCTCGCCTGAGCAATTTGCAGAAGGATTCTCGTATATTTGATCATCACTGCGGTTTCGGTCGTCTGCCTTGGACTTTCCTTTGCCCTTCTTACCTGAAGCCTCAACATTGTTCTCCGCTCTCGTGTCGGTATTGGAGGGCTACTCTTTTGTATCACTTACCGAGTCTTTGGGAGCCGGATCCCTCCCTCTATCGCTATATCCAAAATCACGAGACGTAGACTGCCCTGAATAACTGTTCGACTGCTTTGACGATGATGGCTTTGGATCTTCTCTAATAGACCCACTGTGCTTACTTTTACTGGATGCATGTTGCTTGATCTTTTTGAATAAGGACGGCATGATGTTGCAACTTTCGTCTTGATAGTGTTTCCAAAGTACTCTGAAAGCAGGACTTTCCAACTTGGTCAAAGATGTACGTACGTAGATATCAGATGTACAAAGTTTGAAATATATCCAAGATTTTGTATGCATATTGTGCTGTGTCACAAGGTGGGAAGTCGTCTGTTTCGCCATGACTATTACTCCAGGTAAGTATGACTTTGGAACCTTTGTGTTTGGACTGACTGTGTGTATGTGCCTGAAGAATCATACTGTGGACGGATCATTCATCGATGAACACCATTCAACATCAAACGAGCTAAGTGATCGGGGTTTCCTCTGGGCAGGAAACGCATGGAATGGCGTACCATACTACCTGTGCCTGTTTCACTTGCGCGCTTGACACTAGTTCAATGATACTGGCCATTCGTTCAAGATTAGGTACGTTCTAAAGAATTGGATTGACAGTTAGAGTCATGTTGTGGTCCTTTGATTTGATCGACATCGCGAAGCAAGTTTCACTAGATATGAGAAGGGAGTGTTGAACTAGTTCAAGCTATGAACTCGGAATACATTACAGATGCTCTACCCATCGACTGAGTTCAACGTCTATCTAACCATCGTCTATGCAGGGATGCAAGCTCATCCATGCACCACTAAACTCTCCACAGCACTCACTCCACCCATTTAGTAGAAACAGGTCCATGAACACCCGTTCTATCGACGACGCTGAGGCTCCTTCCCCTTTTCCTTTCCTCGATCCTTGACTCGTCTAGAGTCAGCATGAAGAGGATGATCGGATTGGTAGGCAAAATCTCTCTCGTCGATGGCGTTTTGGCGACGTGACGAGGAAGCCTGAGCATTGTCTCTGGTGCCGCGCTGTCTCTTCAGAGCCTCGGACTTTTCACTACTTCTCGAGACATAACCGCTTCGAGCATTTTCCTTCCTACGTAAAGTCTCCTCCGAATCGCCAGGGGCTGGATACATATTGGGCAGCCTCTTCCTCCAAGACTCGGTCGAATTGGAAGCGTGCATTTGATCCTTTGCGGCTTGTTTCATCCTGTCAAGCTTCTCCTGAGCTCTACGTCTGCGGTCCGTCGGGCTGTCCTTGCGACTCGAACCTTCGCCGCCGGAATCGTAGTCTTCTTCCTCATAATAAGCATCCTCATCGTCATCCTCATCGTAATGAGCTGAGCTTCCACCGCGGGACTTTCCTTTTGGTGGTGGTCGGGCTTTGGGCAGCTTCGACGTGTCTCCGAGAGGGTTTTGGTATTTGGGTGGGGGTAGTGGCTTTCTGTCCGGTCGCTTTCCAAACATGGTTATTAGAAAGGTTTTTATCTGGGATTCTAGGCTACTGTGAGGGCTCTGCTGAAAGGGGCTGTTCTGATGGTAGGATCATAGGAGAACTTCGACCTTGGTGAAAAGCGATATATATATCCCTTTGGGACTCGTCCTCTCTTCGTTGGCAAAATGGGTTGCACCCTGGTGTCATACTCAAAGACTCATAGATGGATGACATTTGTAGTCAGAACGAACCACAAGGTGCATTGGAAACAGTGTCACGCGTATCGCACTCAATACTAGGTACTTGATGCTCATGAACGACGAACGACAGGATGGATAACTCACGAGCTGCTATGGATGGCATCAGCCAAACGCTTCAAACCATGGATAGACAAGCCTCTCAATGCATTATGGGGGCTGTCGTTAGGGAGTAGGTGCAAAGTCGAGGGTTGTCTTGGAGCTTATGGAATAAACTCATATTTGTTCTCACGTTACTCTAACGGCGAAAAAACTCACAGAATCAAGATTCATTAGGTAGGTAGTTAATGTATTATGCCCGTAGAGACAATGAGTTTTACTTATGAAACATAAAATTTATCCTGGAGCAGACATCACATGTCGCCGATTCCACAACCACCGCCCGTGAGACTACACCAGGCATCACGTCGAGTCCCTATCACCAACACTACTCCGCCCATCTATCGACATCCTTTCGATTGAGTCGGTCAGGACGATCCGGGTGCCTATATGTGGTTTCATAAGGATTTTCAGGATCGCCGGTGAAGTGCTTGACGGCGATTCCTTGCTTCCGCAGTTCATTGACCGCTCTCAAGTTGCCCATCGTGGTGTGAACCCGCGCTTCGTCGGCGAGCCTAGTATCCTCCTTCGTTGACGCATTTTTGCGAAGAATCTGGGCGTCACGATGTTCTTTGTTATTGGCGCTCTTCGGAGGCCACAGATCGGGGTCTGCGAAGCGCTCTCTGATCGCCTTGGTGCTGTATCTCTCATGGAGTGTCGCAATCCACTCCGGGTCGTCCGACTTGTGTGCCCTAGGTTGGGGCGACGGGGAGTTAGCGCGGCCATTCCCTTTACCACGACTAGACTCTTCACCCATTCCGCGCTGGTGATCCCGCTGACTGCGTGATCCTGAAGGCTCGCTCTTGTTCCACGGGCTCGCATCGAGCCTCACGCCGCCATCACTGTCGCTGTCGAAGTTGGGAGGCTCGTATGTGTCGTCAAAGCCTTCTCGAATGAGTTCTTCGTCCCGTGAACGTGACATAGCTTCGTTGTTTCTTTCGTATTTGTATTTATCTCAGCTAATTTGATGCTCGAAGATACAGCAATGGAGGACATACTGCTGGCATCGTCGAAAAATCCAATTGATATAGCCAGCTGCACAGTCATAAAGGCCATGATGACTATGGTCGTAACCGTCGATAATGATGACTTGTGCAAGCTTTGAGTCGAAGCGCAAACAGCTTCACAGACTCATGCGGCTCTGTAGATGCCATGATCGTTATGGTCTATATTTGAGTGACAGCTCGTTGGTGACACGATCTCGGTGTGACAACGGCGAGTAGAGTGACGCAAAGAATTTTGCATGCATGAGTACAGCCCACGATGCAATGATTCTCCCTCAAACTGAGACTTCAGATGTTGGTTCACGATTGTAGTGATATTAATGGTTGCTGTTGGTAAGATCAACTTTGGGCGGTGGACAAGGCTCTGTTAATAAAGGGGTCGCGCCCCACAGCATCTCCGCACTCGGCGATATTCCTTGATCGCCTGCTTCACAATCGTGACTCTGTTGCAGAATTCAGCAACATCTTCCAAAGCATACTCTCAGGAGCTATGACTAGGTTTGGTGATAGAAAATGTGTTCACTGGGCATCTTATACACCAACGAGATCGGTAGCTGTGATCTCTTTGGCCTAATACTGATTGACCAGCAAACGACGTGACTAGCAAATGGCTTGACCAGCAAACAGCGTGACCAGCAAATGGCTTGACCAGCAAATGGCTTGACCGGCAAAGCAAACGGCGTGATTACAGCTGACAGAGATGTGTTCTACCTCTAGAAACATAAAGCACCACCATCGACTCGCAAATCAGCTCCAGTGATGTATCTTCCTGCCCGCTGACTACTTAGCAACACCACTGGACCGGTGATTTCTTCAACGTCGCCCATTCTACCCATTGGACAACGGCTTACCCATATCTCACGAACCGGCTTGAGGTTGTCACCGGCGTTCAAGACCGTATCCATATAGCCTGGAGAGATGCAGTTGACCCTGATACCATGAACAGCCCATTCGGCTGCAAGATTGTGGGTCAAGTGTGCTACAGCAGCTTTGCTGACGTTGTAGGCGGCTTGAGGCTGAGGAAAATTTGTGGAATGGGCCGAGATTGAGGCAGTGAAAAGAATAGAACCCCCGGATTTGGACTCTATCATGTGCTTTGCCGCAGCTTGAGCGCAGAGGAATGACCCTGTCAAATTAACATCGACCACCTTGCGGAATTGAGTAGCTGAGACAGAGGCTGAGTGCACACAGCCAACGATGCCAGCGAAACAGCACAATACATCGATTGAGCCCATCAGCTTACGAGCGTCGTCAAAAGCATGCTCCACCTCGGTCTCGGAAGTTACATCGACGTGGACAGTGTGAATTGGAATGTTGGGGAATTCCTGTTGTAGGGCAGAAATAGATTGTTGAGAATGGGCGATGGTCGACTGCAAGTCCATTAAGACCAGGGACGACAGACCATGCTCCAACAAAGCGCGAGCAGAAGCCAACGCTAAAGTGCCAGCACCACCGGTGAGGACTGCATTGCCGTTGACTTGAAATCTTGCTGCTGCTCTCTCAGCAGGTGATGTTGATGTCGTTGGTGGCAATGGCGCTGTCAAAGGGTTGTCTGAAGTTGAAAGGGTCATGGTAGGAATTAACCTTGACGTCAAAGCGGCTCTTTCATCCTGAGGATGTACTGGGGCTGCCGGGTGACAAGAGTCGTCGCCCATGTTGATGTTGAGTCTGAATTATAAAAGGCGAAGTAATCTAATGGGGTCGAGAGTGTGTTCTAACGAAGACGAACAAAAGCTGGGAAATTAGAGATGCAAAGGTCAATATCATGAAATATAGCGAAACAAACAGTATGTTATAAGATTTCGACAGGTGAAAAGGCAAATAGTGGACGTCGATCCTCCGATAGAATGACGGTGACAGAGTGTGGAATTCGATATCACGTGGTAGTTTGTGTCTGACGAAAAGGCATTCTGCTGTAAGTGGCCAAGGGTTGTGGCTGCGGAGAATGATATTCTCTCCGTCAGACAAAAAAGTGCTTATTCATCGGCATGATTTCCTCATTGAGACACTCGGCGAAGATTGGCCCGATCTCAACATGATATTTTTTTTGAGATTTTGGAGATGATGAACTCGACAGTGAAATCTCCCTACACCAAGTGAACTTCTACTGGGACAAACGCGCCTCTTCCCGGCGCTCCACTACTGTAAACCGTCGTTCATCATGTCTCAAGTCCACCAACCTGCTCCAGGCGCCGCCCCTTCTTCGATTCCCTCAAACCTCGGTCCGCAAATCGATCTCCTCGTCTCCCTTCACCTCTGGGCCTGGCCCGCGTTGACCCTCGCCATTCAAAATTCCTGGGGTGGCTCAAGTCAAGTTTCACACGATAAGCGAGAGTGGTTTGCCGGTGCTGTCTCAGAGCTTTTGACATCTAGTCCTCCACAACTCATCGATGTTGGGGATCTCGAAGAGGTACTCCTTCAAGTCATGGTCGACGAGTTTGAGGTGGTGGTCGATGACGACAGTGCGGAAGAGACTGCGAGGGCAATTTGGGGTGGTGTCAACAAGCTGAAGGGGGGTGATGTGGCCGAGTTGAACGAAATGCACATCAAGTTCCAAGAAAAGCAGAAAAAAGGAGGGAATCAAGTCTCTGGTATTGTGCGTGGAGAGGACAAGGATGCCGACGAAACCGATTGGGATGACAGCGATGATGACGAAGATGAATGGAATGGCTTTCCAGACAGACCAACAGGAGATGTCGACATGTCCGATGCGCCTCCTCTTCCCAGACAGAAGGTGGAACCAGAAATTGACGAGGATGGCTTCACAAAGGTTGTGGGCAAGAAGAGGAGATGAAGTTCTCAGATTCAGGATGGCCTCGTGACATTACCAGAGAACAAGAATCCCAGATGAGGACCACGTCTACCCATCGACCACCCTTGACCGACGTGACCAAGGTCACACAGGCGCGGGGAGAAAATCCAAGCGTTGCATAAGGCTTCTATCACCAGAATCTCACAACCTCGGGTCATCAACGAGATCTGACGGCTAGTCGAATCTCAGACCAAGCCTCTGGTCAAACACCCCTTCTGGCAATCAGCCAAATCCGCTTGAGGGTTAGTCAATCCACGGCAATGCATATCCCAGATAGCGGCACTGGGCTGCATGAGATCCCAATTATCAACTCACGCGAGGGCCACTATGACGCCGGGAGCTGCACACTGAATTCCGCACCAAAATTCGGACATATACCAACCTATTACAATTCCTCGTCACACTCAAGGACGATGACCAGACAACACGAATTCAGAACAAAACTGGGTTGAGCATGCCAAGGTCTCCATACACACGGACGTACTCCGTATGTGCACATGCACAGGCACACTCGTACGATACAGATGTTTTCATACCCCATATGCAGGTCCGAGGACTCGGGACTCGTTGGACACGCTTATATCCGAATCGTGCATAATGTGGGGCGGACGACTCCACTGGACATGAAGCTGCCCTACAGTTCTAATCTATGCAAGCAAACTGGCGAATTAAGTCGACGATTGTCAATCCTTTCAGTGATCGAACCAACATTATGATCGCATTCATGAGCATGATACGGAGGCTTGGCTGGTCTATAAGTACCTATATGCTGGAGGAATGCCGACAAATAACACGAGTACTTACTTCAGATACTTGCAACCAAACCAACCGTTTCTTCTATCACCTCGCAGACCAACGACCAATGACCAACATCATCCAATACACTTACTATATCACACAGATATACATCACACACCCTCCCTTACGAGCCCTACCTATCTACCTCAACTATGACTAAAGTGTGGTTCATCACCGGCAGTTCACGGGGCCTCGGCCGACGCCTGACGGAATACGCACTCGCACAAGGCGACTCCGTGATCGCCACGGCACGAGACTCAAGCACACTATCCGACCTCGCGCAAACCCACGGACCCCAAATCCTCACCGTCTCACTCGACGTACAATCCTACCCCTCCGCAGCGTCGGCCATTTCCGCCGGCCTCGCCCAATTCGGCCACATTGACATCGTGGTTAACAACGCCGGATACGCGAACATCGATTCCGTCGAAGACATCTCCATGGCCACATTCCGCGCGCAAGTCGAAACCAATCTCTTCGGCGTCGTGCACGTCAGCAAAGCCGTGACACCCATCTTACGCGCCCAGGGCCACGGCCACATTGTCCAAATCTCATCCCTCGGTGGACGACTGGGGAGTCCTGGTCTCAGTGCATATCAATGTTCGAAATGGGCGGTAGGGGGGGTTTCGACGTGTCTGGCGGCGGAACTTGCCCCCTTGGGTGTCAAGGTGACGGTGTTGGAACCAGGTGGAATTCGAACTGATTGGTCGGGTTCGTCGATGGAGACGAGAGAGCCCTCGGGCCCGTATAAAGAGACAGTGGGCGCTTTTAGTGATATGATCCGTGGATATCATGGTCAGGAACCTAGTTTGCCGGAGAAGTTTGGGCCGATTATTGACACGTTGTATGCATCGGAGGAACCGCCGGTGAGGATGTTGATTGGGCCCGATGCGTTGCAGTTTGCGAAGCAAATTGCGGATGCGCAGGCGAAGTCGGATGAGAAGTGGAAGGAACTTAGTGCGTCGTCGGTGTAAAAAGAAGAGAAGGGATGGCCCTATGTTTGATGGGGATCGGGTTCAATGTATACATACTTAAGCAACGAACAAGTCTAACGAGTCTAGACTTTGGTCAGGAAAATCCACTGATAGAGGTACAAAATACCATCAATACACGAAATGCATGTCTGCGTGAATACAATCTCCATATACGTATACTCGCATCTCACTTTCATTGGCATCATCACACGGATTATTTCTCGAGACAGTATAGTTTGCCCCATCAAACACATCAATTGGCACATGTAACCATGTCGCTATTCTAAGTAGAAACCTTGGTCATAACTAGGCTGTCAGGAACCATTCCAGTCGTCCTGCTGCCATATCAGGCCTTGTCCATGCCGTGGCCTGAGCATGTCGCCAGGCAATCAACCATGCCTGCATGATTTGAATGAACGCCTTTCTGCAGCCATTGATCGACATTTGCAGTAATGTTTTATTTCCCTAAACCCAAGTCGCTCTTTGCAGTGGACGCCATTTTGAAATGCCTCTAGCATATTTGGTATCATAATCGTCGTTACTTTGTTGTCCCACACCCTCCTTTCAGCTTCGCCACGCTTTTGGTCCCTGAAAGAGTCACGCCTTGTCCGTCTTGAATTCTTGGGTTGGCGTTATCTCATGCTCCATATTGTCTTCACCGTCAATGTCCTCTTCCTCCGGTTCACCCGTCTCAGCATCCACAAAGTGCTCCCCCGTGGTTGTGGCGACACTGGGTTTTCGACTCGATAGCGCCACAGATTCACGCCCAGTCTCGTCCTCAGTTCCCCTAGAAAGAATGCTTCCATTCTCTCCCACGGTCTCTTCGTCATCAGGTATTGTGTCTGGTTTCCCTTCACCACTGGTACTGGCTCTGAGTCGCAGTCTTTCTTCCACCGACATGTTTTGCCAGTCCGATGACACTGTGATGACCGACGCCTTTTTCCCGTGGAGAATGAAACTCCCTGTTCCTCGTTTGAGCTCCTCGGCATCACTGACTGAGCGGCCTCCGTCCTCAGTTGCTGCCACGCTGGACCCAGAGTCGCGAGCTTTTCGGTGCCGATGGAGGCTAGGGGAATGGTGATGGACAGCGTGAGGCATATGTGTATCGCGTAGACTGCGATGCAGACGCCGCACACTGCTTCCCTTGGACACTTCTCCGGCCGTACTGAGCCTCGCAACCCTATCACGGTCCGACTCGCTCGTCTCGGGGCGTTTGTCCTTAGGTACCGCCCCATCGATGCCGATCAATCCAGCTTCTCGAAGGACCTGCTCCTCTGCTTCATTCGTCGCCAAGGTTTGTCGGCTGGTGTCCCGGCTATGCTGAGATTCGACTACTGACGTTTGATGTATGAGGGGATGCGAGTCCTGGGTGCTGCCCCGGCGAGAAAGACGCTCCACAGCAGCCGAGGGACTGGCCGTTGGTGCCAGGTCCAGAGTGCCGCTAGGTTCCATAACTGGCCGACTTCCATCATTTTCCGCGCTCTTGGGTTTCTCAAGGATGTTCGACGGTCGAGAAGAAGTTGCACTAATCGGTGATAGCGTCAAGTGGCTCGTATCTGTCACCGTTCTCCCCAGGGTATGCTGTGATGTTTTCAGCGGCGTGGTTTTGACTGGAGTAGTTGTCGTCGATGTCTTGGGAGCGGGAAACGCTGTGACCCCTTCTTGCTCCAGGTCTTTTGCAAGAATCTCCCTGTGTGTGCGTGTGCGCCACAATTCAACCCTCGTCCACTTCAGTTTGGCAGCCATCCGACCCGCAGCAAGAACGAGGGTTTCCCGAGTCTTTTGTTGGATAGGCAGAAGGATCAGAAGATGTCGAGCGTTCCGTAATAACTGGTCCAGCTCTTTCTGGGCCACAGCAATCTTTTCATCCAAGTCACTGATTTTTTCATTGATCAGTTGGCGTCGGTAGAACATGATTTCCCAAGCCATTTGAGGATCAACCTTCTTTTCCTTTTGAGGCGTTGGAGCAGGCGTGTCTCCACTCTTTGTAGAAAAATCAGAATTCTTGCGGAGAATATGGCGACCTTCGTACGTTTGTGACAGTAATCCACGCATTCGCACTCCAGCGCTGCGGAAGGTGGCGGCGTAGTTCAGCTTTCCGATCCAATCATTCATCTCGTTTTCGCTGTTAGCCAAAAACACCTCCTCAAACCCACCATGTTTGATAAAGACGAATGCATTCTTGTGCTTCTTGTATCCCGAATCCAACAATGCTACAGCATCATCCATAGACATCAACGCGTCCGGCTCAAAGCTGGACAAGGGCGGTTTGAAGATCAGTGATCCAGGCTTGCTATTGCCCTTGTTGTGCACATCATATTGCGACATGAGTTTCTTGACCCAGCCAATGTCTTTGAAGAAATACAATTTCGAGTCGGTCAGAACAGCACCCCACTCCTGCCAAGGTCGTTTCGCTTTCTTCTTTTTGGGGTCCTTTCGCCATAACAAGCCTACCTTGGCCACTTTGATACTGACCAAGCCGGCCTGAGCTTCACCAGGATTACTGATTGTGGCCTGTGACAAGAAAGCATCTGGTCGTGACCTGGCTGAGACGATCTGCAACACAGACGAATGCAGAAACGCCTTGGTTGGCTCGGTCGTATCCAAGGCTCCTAACGTGCCGGTCGAACTGTAGTGGTCTTCAGCGTCCATGACGTCTTTCAACGAGGGTCGAAGGACATCCAGCTTATTGTCCAAGAGAAGAGTATACGGGTCGATTTGACCTCTCAAACTCTCAATGCTCTTGGTCTTGATGAGGCTCTTTCTCGGCTTGGGAGCTGAAAGACGATGACTGTTGATAGCGACCTCGTCCTCAAAATGAATGAAAGGAGTGTAGCAGATGTTGTCGAAAAAGCACTCGAGAACGTCGTTCGCAATTTGAATTTGACCTTGCTGTGTATTCTTGACGTAATCCTGCTTTTGCATTTTGCGCTTGTTGTTCTTGTTGTGGGCATCCGAGTGTAAGAGGAGGATGGAAAAGGCGACATAGGATGTCTCATCAGGGGACGCAAAGATACCCGGGTTGCATTCATAGTAGCGATCTGCAAAGCCAGCCAGAAGACGGTCGATCTGTTGGGTTTCTTTGGGCAGTTCGACCTCCATCAGCATCTTCCGAATGGCCATGTCGATAGAATCTCCAAAATAGGAGAAACCACGCATGTACTTGCGCAGGCAGGTTTTGCAAAAGTCGTCAGCATTCTTGCACAGGATGCTCGCCATGGCGCCTCTCGGGACAGCTGCTGCCAACTTTTCCAGGTAGCTTGCTGGAGTGTCACCATCTTCTCGTCTAGGGTATTCTCGCTCGGGTCCGGCTTCCCTATGAATATGGAGTGAGTTTGACTTGGACCCTGGAGTGCTTGGAGAGTTGGTTGCGCCGTGACGGGCAGGCGGGGCAGAATTCTGTCGCAGGCGCTGAGGCAGAGATAATAAATCCCCGAAACTTCTCCTCCCACTGGTGGAAGTCGAAGTCCTTGCCGAGCTCGACTGTGGCAGGGTGTCAAGCAATCTCTCAGCCGAGCGACCCATGGAATTCATGGTAGATGATCGTCCTCTTGCGCCCAAGCGTGGAGGTACCAAGGTTACCGAAGGGGAGGACTGGCCCGAATGGTTGGACCACTGAGAGTCCTGACGCACGATTGTAGGACCTGGAGCCCCGAATGGTGCATTGGTCAAGGCTAGGGCAGAGTGGGTTGGTGACGGTTGGGCGGAATCTTGTCGACTGGGCTCCGTATCAAATCTGATGGCAGATCCTGGCTTCCTGCTTGGTGAGAACGACCTCCTTCCCCTAGAAGTATCCGCACTAATGTGAGATGTACTTGTTCTGCCCGACGGAGGTGCGGAGAACTTTTCAGGAAGTGGGAACAGAGGTCCTTTGTCCTTCTTCCGTCTCTTCAACTTGAAAAATGTGGTTGTTGTCGAGATGGTATGGGTGGTGGTGGTCTTTGCATAGACATGATCCCCAGAACTGTCATCAGATCGAGACGAGTCTGATAGGCGGGTTACAGGAATGGCGAGCGAGGAGGAGGTCTCGTCTCCATATGGAGGTGGACCTTGTACGCCATTGACACCCTTGATTCGGGGCAATCGTTCGAAGGATGTGGTCTCTTGAGAGAATCTTTGTCTCGACACTGCACTTTGTGGATGGTCGACCTTGCCTTCTCCTCCAGACAAAGGCTCTGATGGAGGGTGCGAAAGAACTTCGCCTTTTCTAAAAGGGCTGGATCCGCGAGGGAAGAGCTTCCGCTTGGTGATTCTGACTAGGGGATCGTCGGCTTCGCTGAGGGTGGGTGCAGTGGTGATGATCGTGGGAGCTGCGTCTGATTAGCGAAAGACATTTAATTTTGGAAGAGCAACACATACGAGCAGCGACATGTTCGGGGGTGACGGATTTATCCTTGCGGAATCTCGTTGAGAGTTGAGAGTCTGAAGCATGTCTGAAACCTAGGAGGGAGAATCTTTTTGGATTTGGAAGGGGCAGATCATTCGGGGGAGCCAGTGAAGGCTGTTCCGGCAACTTGTCGAGGGGCTTCTCAAGGGCAGGCAGAATAGGAAGGACAGGTTCAGAAGCGACAGGTTTGGGGTCATGAGTACTGGATGGTTCAGGAGAAGTCATATCATCGGAGGCATGGGTAAGAAAGCGAGGGAATGTCTCCTCATTGGTATGGGACAGACCCAGGCTCAACCTCTTGAATGAATCACCACGAGTTCGAGTTGTCGATGTTGTCGTTGCAGGTAGGGAGGCGTCAGAGGGGCGGATGACATTTTCGATAATGCTACTATGTCGGCGGTGACGTTTGTCGGTGGAGGGAAGGGAGGATAAAAGAGCCTTGAGAGGCATGACTTGGGAGTTGGAGACGCACGATGCTAGGCCATTTCGATCTATCGAAAGGCCATGGGATTGAGAATGACGAGGTTGGTGGATTAGGCGAGCCACCGAGTGTCTCAGTAAGCAGGGTTGTTGCAGAACTGAGTGATTAACGACCGAGTCATGTCGTTGGAAATCAGACTATGAGGGTCAAGCGAGTGAAAGAGAAAGGTTTGAGGATTGATTGGATCGGGAAACGAGCAAACGCAGTTGTGACTGTTGTGACTGGTGAGTCGTGAGTTGGAAGTCGTCAGCTGGAGTCTGAGTCTGAGTCTGACTCTAGGTGTCTCGATGTCCAGGAGGAACCTCTTGAGCTGTAAGAAATGCAGCAGGTGTGACACCGAAAGTGATGAGAATTTCCACAAGTGACAGCCACTGGGAAGTTGGACAGTGTTGGATCTGAATCATCGGAGATCAGCCATGGCAAGTGAAGATAACAATGGATAAGAAATGGATGTGAACAGTGTGGACTCTGGACTCTCATGTATCTGCGTTCTTCATTACGCCATGACGGAGTCCTACGAGCCCAATGAGGTCGAGGCGTTGGGGAAATGGAGGACCTTTGGACCTTAGAACCCTGGACTCGGCATGCCCAGACGCTGGGAGTGGGAGGCTACGGACGGGTACGAGCCTTGAGCCCGAATCCAGGGACACACGGCTGCTGGAACACTACTGGGCACTGGGGATTCGGACTTTTAGGCCTGAGCACTCCTTTAGGTTCGGCCTCTTAGGCTCCTTGCTTGCCCCCGATGAATTGTCAATATTACGAATGTACCATCGCCTTACTCAGACCATTAATTCCGTGTTGCCGCACCTGAACGGTGTCCGGAAGCCCAATACAGCGGTCTGCAAGGGGGCCTGACCCAGGGGAGCAGCACGGAAGGCGGGGGCGCTCCAATAATGGAACAACAGGGTATACCACGTCTGGAGAACCCCCCGAATGCCCCTAGCTACCAGCCCGCAGGCTACCGTTGTGTACTTTACTCACTTGAGTTAATTTTCAAAGCCCAGCCTCCCACCTCCAGGGGTTGCGACGCGTGTTGAGTCCATGCTTCTACTTAGCCCGCCTGCCACGTGCAGTTGAAAGATACTCCCAACCACAGAAGATACGCAACATTCTAGCTGGTAGCTAGCATCGCTCTTCCATGCGTCGATATTGTGCTACTGCATATTCTGCATATCACACTCGTCATCGTCCTCAAAAGATTCTCATCCCACGCGCACTAACGTGTTTTGTACTATTCTTGACTTCATTCGGCCTCGGCCACCAATTGCTTCTCCGTCGGCGGTCTCGTTTCTGCACGGGGCGAAACCTCCGCAGTCTAAGCAGCGTGACAGCCGACAAAGAACACTCTGATCGCTCGGCGGTCTCCGTGGGGTTCACGACTAATTGCAAAGGGGACATAGGGTAGATGCAAATCTACAACGCATTTCATTATAGGCCATCTCCATCATGCTCGACAAATTCTATCTCAAACGCCTCGCATGCATGCATGTCATAAACAACCCGCTGCTGTACAGTCCGACTTTATCGACCATCATACCCGCTCTGAGCCGCAAAATATCCGCTCTGCCTCTGATGCATCATTGCTTGTTGATAATGCAATGGAGACACCGGTCCCCCAAACACACTCCACCGAGTTGACGGTGATGGTGCTCGTAAATTGGCCCATGACTCAGGGTGACCAGCTTCCGGCCCCAAACCGTACATTCGCTCCGTCTTTTGTCGGTGTGCGATTGCTTCATGAACCATTTGTCCCGCCAGCCCTTCCCGGATATTGCGTTTCTCCTGCTCTCTCGCCTCGATGGCTCCGATCAACCCAATCGATGGATCAGGCGTTCGACTTCGCTCGCTGACATGAATCAAAGGCCCTCCCGTCATTCGAGCCACATGCTCCTGCTCTCGCGCACTCAAGTGTGAGGAGAACTCATGCAGCAGCGATCCACGTGATGAAGGTCGACTGTTCGACTCTCTTCCATTACGAAGCCTGCTGGGAGACTGTTCGACCTTGCTGAATGACGTACTGCGGTAAGGCACGTACCCATGAGGAGATTTGAGTGCGGACGCCCGCTGCTGCACAAACTCCTCTGCTGTCAATCCACTGGTTGGGCTATGCCGCCCCAGGACTGTGCCAGCCCGCCAGGCCTGGCTCGATGACCGTCCGTGGCCACCAAGGGGGTTCGACCCAGGTCGGTCAGCGCGAGGAGATCGCTTCTCATCTTTAGGCGAGACCCGCTCGTTCGGAGAGCCGTTCACAGGTGATGCCGGCGCAGTTAGAGGCTGACCATATTCTAGTTGCGATGGTCGTCGGCTGAATCCAAGAGCGGTTGCAGGTCTACTGTGTCCTGGTGTCAAAGAAGGTGTGATGGTGGTTCCAAAATCAACAATAGGAATATCGACTTGACCGGACCTAATGGCGGTATTGCCGAGGCCAGGGTCGCCAACAGTTTTGAGGACCCCAGTTCGTCTTCGCGTGACGAGACCAGGGCTAACGTCTTCTGGTGGGCTGTCGTAGTCTGGGGAATCTCGAGATGAGTCCAAGTGTCGGGGCATACTCTCGGCAGACTACCACTGCCTCTGTGGAGTAGACGTTGGAGGACAAAAACTCTACTCGGGAACAGGCTTTCGGTGGATTATATGTTTGCTGGGTGATGAATGACGTGGAGAAAAGGATTGCGTGGTGGTGACCAGGGTGAGACCACTCTTAGGATCTTGTGGGTGTGCAAGAGGAATTTCTGTAGAGCTTTGCACATACAACGAGTCACTAGGATATTCTCCTAGTACCACTGCTGTTGCTGTTGTTGTTGAGGTGGTGGTGGTGGTAGTGGTGGTTGTTGGTAGTGGTGCTGTAGAGGGGGCTTGATTAGCAGATAATTCTTCGAGGGTGTACTTGTTGGGGGTTGCAGTTACCCCTCGTGCCCCCTGATTATCACTGTACCCAGGCGGCGGGCCACTGCTATTAGGGCCATTCCAAGCCACCACCGCAGCATGACCCGCCGCCCCACCATGACCGATGTTCGCTCTGTTCCCCAACTTGTTGACGTCTGCAATCTGAGACAATGTCGCATTTGACATGCGGGATTTCTCCCGCCGAAGGTCAGGTCTTGCATCTGGTCTCTTTTGTGGTACTTCTCCCGCATAGTGTTGGAAGGTGGGTGGTGCCACTACAGGTGCAGGTGGCGTTGATTCCCGCACCTCATAACCAATGTCGTCTCGGTCCAGGCGTTGGCCTTGTCCATCACTATCTGAGCTGTATCGACTGTCAGGTCCTTCCTGCCCGGAAGGATAGCTGCCATTTCGATACGGAGCATATTGATTCGGTGGTTGAGGCGGGGGATGGATCGGTGCTTGATGGACATGGTCGGTCGATGATTCTCGCGAAGGAACGTCATTCTCCTTCTGTTGGCGGATCTTGGTCGGTGAAATATAAGGTCCCGATTCAGACACAGACCTGTTATGACTGCCCTGAGCGTTGTGGACTGGTGCCAGGTACCCGCCGTTGGTGGGAGCCTGAGAAACTCTTGGTGGTGTCTCTATACCGGATCGATATCGAGCATCTGTGCTGAGTGGCGTCGGAGAGCTGTCGGCATAGTGCACGCCGGGCCTGTGTTGTTCGGACACCTGCCGAGCATGTCCTCGACTATCTACATTGCTGACGGACCGAGCTTGGGGTCCCATACCCATTCTCTTCGACGTCATTTCTTTCATCTGTTTTCGCCATTCTCGTTCGTTCCATTTCTGACTGCCCGCTGTATGGATCAAGGCTGCAACATCAATAATGTCGAGGTAACCGTAATGGCGCTCCCTAGGCATGGCAAACATCAAACCCCTGACATCCCAAGTATCTGCAATCATGCGTCCCGGTCGGCCGTAGAGATGGAATGTGTCATAGACGGGGAAAAGCCATCGAAGCATCATTTCGAATCCCGAGACAGCAGGATGAAGCTCAGGCATCACGAAAACAAATCCGTCGGACTTGGACTCTGGTTTGGAGTGAATTGTGATACGGCCTTCGAGTTTTACCAGGGTTGATTGCTCAATCAGAGGTTTTGATTGAGGGTAGATAGCGTATGCCGAGTAAGCGTCCGTAATGGTTGCAATAGGAGTGACCTTTTTGGTCTTCTTGGTGTCGTAGAATTTGATAATACCTTTGGGCAGAGTAGGTGGTCGTTCGTAGGCCGAGCGCTTCTTCATGGTCTTGTTCATCTTCTGCCATTCCTTTTCGTCTGGAGGTTCAATGACACACCAACAACGCCTCCACGGGGTGCCGGCACCAAATCGAACTCTGGCCCAGTCCTCGGTTACAAAACGAGATCTTTCCATGATAGTTTTGATGTTGTTGAGATGTTTGCCTTTACCAGCAATCAACGAGCCAGTATAGAGCTCTTGTAATGAGGTATGTTCGAACATTGACAGTCTGATCCCAGCAGTCCATTGCGTGAGCGAGTGCAAGGAATTAAAGTGCAAAAGATATCGATTCTTCCCCGCGGTCGATATCGACAAAACATTCTGCAGAGGTTGGACGTCAGGGTTCCGTGTAGGAAGTGTTTCAATCTAGTGGAACTGTTAGCGGGCTCGTTGTCAGGCAGGGCCCAGTTGAAGGTCTTGCCATTTTCAGCGAGGCATCGGCGAGATTGATGAAGGTTGGAGCGACTTCGCCTTCTTGACCAGCTGCGTCCAAGGCCGCCGCATCCCACAATGAGAGGACGGTGCCCACAAGTTGAGCAAAACATTCGGTCCAGTTGCGATCAGCATTTGGTCGTCCACCTGCAGAATTGGTCAGTTTAAACCGGAAGAGTAACGCCTCATTCGTCGAACTCACTCGTATCTAAATCGTTCAACTTAAGGAAATACCCTGATGCGCAAATAAACATGTCAGCAACGTCATCCACTCGCTCCACCAGCCTTTCGGGGGGGTAGTAATCACCTTCCTGGTAGAGCTTATTGCTGTGGCTTGAGAGGAAACTACAAAATGGTCCTGTCAGCACTAACAGGATCCCCAGACATAAAAAAGGTACATGTGGGAGCGGTACCTGAATACGGGGATCAGTTCCTCAATGTGGTTGTCTCTTCCAGCGTCCATCATCGAAGGAGGGGTATAAACCATTGAAGTTGGTCGAGATGCGGTTCGCTCAGGTCTGGGATAAGGTCCTGGCGGAGGATCGGCGGGGGAATGTTGGAGATCCGCAGGGGAGTGGTTATCAACCACAGTATTGTGGTTGTTGGATGAGGATCTCGAGGGTGGTGAATTGGAGGCTTGAGGATCTCGAAAACTCCTCCAACTCTCGGAGAGATTGCGAAGCCTACCCATGGTGTAAGAACTGTTCCTGCCGGGTTGTTGTGGTGGTGTGGCCTAAACAAGGTGGTGGCACCTGCGTCGAGCGCCTGGAGTCTGGCCCTGCGGGAAGTTGCACGGCGGACCAGGACCGTGCAGGCTGCAGGCGGGTGGTAGGGCAGACCTGAGGCGGCACCTGCTTGCTTTATTGATTGCACCAACAGTAAATCAATACATAGAGGGCAACAGAATGTAATAATTGAGGATGATGGAAAGCAAGTTCAAGAAGCCAGCCGGCTGGGAGTGTGGCGCAGCGCAGGCAGGCAAGTCGACGGTTTGTATGGGCGCAGCTGAGTTTGAAATCTTTTCTGTGAAATTGGAATGGCTTCCTGGCGGGTTCAGATCAGATGTAGTAGCAACAGTAATGACAGGGCCAAGGAGAGTGTGCCGGCGCCGACGATGGACGGTAGTGGATGGATGGATCTCGTAGTCTTGACCTAATTTATCCCAAGACCTTGGAAAAGTGGAAATCAACTGCGGTTTGTCGGGGAGAGTCCGGGTGTTATGAGATGGGGCAGTGGAGCTGAGGGCGACAATAATAATAACAGTAGGAGTAGGGAGATGTGAAACTGCAGTTGAAGGATTGAAGGATGACTGTTGATTGTGCAGGAGACCGACACGGGGGATTTTTGTATGCTATAGCTCCATCAACATTTATCCAGAGTTATGGAAGAGGGCGGATGTCACAGTTCATGTACTCGTAAACGACCAACGCTATCGTATTTGCATGATGTGTACCCATGTGCGAGACCGATGCGGACGGCGATAAATCTACAGGACAGTAGGGATCTTCGGATAAAGAGTCGAGAAGGGGACAAGACCTACGAGACCTGGTCACACAAGCTCTTCTACGGCGACATTTAGGCGAGGGTTCAGGCCTAAAAGGTCGAGTGGAGACCCGAGATTGGTGACGCAGGCGCCGCTGGAGGAACCCTGTTTAAGAGAGTTTGATTGACGCCATGACCGTTACGAATTGCAACTCTGTCGCAGTCAGTCGAACTTGTTATCTACACTCCGTATGAGTTCGAAGAAGACGTGTTTCTAGAGGACTTACCAGCCAAGTGGTAAAGTTGCGAGAGATTACGTGCATCAGGGTATCAGGACGGATGACGACACTCCAAAATCCGAAGGCCGCACCTATCACGACAAAAGACTGAGAGTCTGGGGACACCCTTATACCCTGTAATCTGGGCTCCTTCGTAGATCTAAGGTTCAGATACAGCTGCAGATGTCAACTAGCGTCGGTAAGACTTGGACCTCCCACGCTGACAACCAGCATTTGTTCCCACACTGACGTCCTGGGCGGACGTACTACCTACATATTGACTGCGTGGCCCATGACATGCCCGTGCATGGTTTGGGTAGTGCATAGCAGGGGGTATAAAGTTCGGAGACCAGGTATCTAAGTAGTTCCCAGGTAGATCACAAGGTAGCTAGCCAGATATATATATCCCGAGGTACGTATACATAGGACCTCCTCAGCATCTCGTTGGTCGAGTCGAGGGGGAAGATCATTGAGCGCAAGAGGACGAGTGCTATGTACAGAGCGACAAGTGATCAGGGTGCCCAGGGTAGCTGTGAGTACAGGTTTCGTCCCCCCAAGAATTTGAGGATCCAAGCCCAAGAGTTGGGGAGAAGCAAGCTGAGCAACTTCTGTAATTCCTGACTCGTCTGTTTGTAACCAGCGAGGCCCTGCTCGGCGCATGACAGCTGACCAACAAAGTCCTCTTGGCCCTCTTGGGATATCACAATGCACCCCAGATGCCAGGGATCCAGATCGGTCAGACATGGTGTGGTTTGGTGTGGTTGTACTACGACTTGCCGCGTCATTGTTCCTGCGCATCAGGTGTCCTCTGTTGCGTAATCCATGTCTGTCCGTTGGGAATCAATGTTCAAGGAAGCTAAGCGACACCTTCTCCGCAGAGCCTCGACATCACTCTATCGCTTCGTGCCGGTGTCATATTGCGTGCCGGTGTCATATTGCGTGCCGCTATTTGTATTTGGTAGCGACTTTTGATCTGACGCGTAGCAAGGTTTGCCCATCACTGTCCTATCTACCTTAGTTGTATGCTACTGCACATATACTTCGAGCCTTGAACTAAAAGCTACCTTGAACCCTTGGCTAGGTACCATAAGTGACATTCTTCGAGCTCCGAACCGGAGCAAGAGAGTTGCACACCAACGCTATATTAATTATAATAAATTAAAGCGCCAGCACAAGCCCACGCGTTCGACTCCGCCCCACATTTGAAAGTTCTCTTCTATTGAGGTCTAGTCGCAGGAAGACGAGGCAAGAAATACTATTTCTTTTAAGCGAGGACTGCAAGAACAATGATAATTTCATTAGTGGTTTACTTGCAATTGACTGGTTCATGACTATGGCCAACCTTGACCAAACATTTTTCCAGCCAAGCGCCAAACTCACCCAATCGCCATGACCTATTCTTAGCAAGTCTCTCCTTGGTATCCGAATCGCTATGAAGACCAGTATCAATAAAACCCTAAACCATGCCGTAGCTGCAGAGGCTGCATCAGAGTCATCATCCAGATTCCCCTTCAGCCAGATTAAGACGCCCATGATGACTTGAAGACCTTTTTGTTCCTGAATTAATGATGGACAGGTGCTTTCCCGGGAGTTTGCATGATGCACAACTGTTTCCCCGAAAGTATGCATGTTGAACAAATGTGTCACTCAGAGTATGCAAGGTGAGATCAACATTGTCAATCATCTTTTGAAGCCATGTGTGGGAGGGCACCAACCGCGTGATGAGAATGAGATTCTATCTCAAGCCATGAGCGCGGGGCACCGTGTGTTGATTAGCAACATGCGGCATTCATCATGTGCTAGCATTGAACTTCTGCAACGCCAGCGCGACATGAGAATCATCTTCCTGACTAGCTTCGACATCTTCACTCTTCAGATCCTGTGCCCCATCTGTGTTGCCAATTGAGCCATCATTCGGAGGATGGGAAACCGATTCCTCAAGAGATGGGTCGATGAGAGAGTTGGCGACCTGATTGGGAGGAGAGCGAGGTGGAATGAGCTCCGTGAGGCTTCCGAGGCCTTGTGAATCACCAGCAGAGTCACCCAGGCGCACAAAACTGTACTCTGGATATGAAGAGGTTTGGGGATTGGTGTAGTATTGCGCGGGATAATTTGTCGTATTGGTATTGCCTACTGCCGCGGCAGTTGACAGGGCTTCCAGAGAGTGCGCGGCCACTTGCTGTGCTTCAGATGTGCTGGGGGTTCCTGGCGGAGGACTACCCACCTCTTCGGTGGTAGGGTCAACATAGACAAAGGTAACTATCAAGCGACAATGTTAGTGAGAAGTCCACTAGGGTTGGCGCGGGGTGGGAAATCATACGCTGCGATGGTACAGGCACAAACATCCGTCGTTGTTCATCGGTGAAGAAGTTTGTGTATTTGAAAAAACTGCCCAAGCTCTTTTCATCACCCCCTACGCGGCCGGCGTTTTGATTGTGTCTCCATGCGATGCCTGGGGAATGATCAGTATATTCGAGGGTAGTTTTTAAATCTAGCAAGCATTCGGCGGTGCAAAGATGGCGCACCTTCAGACTGGACACATTCGCGGTGTGATTTCTGACATTGCCCACATTGTGGTCTTTGCTGTAACTCGTTCATTAGCATCAGGCTATGAAATATGTAAAGCAGCATCTCTGACATGATGGATTGCTGGACGCGAAGCACAGGGAAAAACAACGTACCTCGTCACATTTCAACTTTCTCTGCCTGCAGGTCAAACATCCCGTCCGACTTCTCTTGACTGGTGTCGAAGAGGCCGGCCGCCGAGGTGTCGATGAGGATACTTTTGGCGCCGTCATGACGATCGCGGGCAATTGTTGATGGCGTTGTTGTAAAGCAGGTTGGCCGAGAAAGGACTTTTGGAAACTCTCCCGATACTCAGTCTTGGACAAGGTGCAGGGTCGCAGGCTAAGGAGGAGAAAAATTATTTCCAGGGAGGGGGACAAACTGCCAAGATTACGCAGTAAGTCAGTCAATGGAGCCGTAGAATGGTTACGGCTGAGTATTAACTACCTGCGTACATAACCACCAGGATTGATTCCATCCCATGTCCAACCACGGCGCTTCAGAGCACCAGACCTGAAGGCTTGGGCCTCCTTTTTTGTGACACAATTAGGTCACTCTATGGCCCCATCACAGTACATTTAGCAGAGCCATGAAAATATCAGCGAGGGCTCGATATGAGGCTGAAGCGTAGCGTAAATGCAATATCAGCACCAACCCATGATGGACTGTCCATCAAGAGTGCATACGATGTGGAAGGGATATGAACTCCGAATACTGCCCAATCTCGTAGTGTGGTACATTCATTGTCTGATTCTTCATTTTTTAATCTTTTTCTTCGGCCGATCGTCATCGCTGGGAGCAGCGTCATCATCGTCTGCATCGTCGTCTGCATCTGGCATTTCCGCATCACTGGCGTCACTGCCGCTGCTTTCGTGAGCTGAGTCATATTCTTCGGCTACATCACTGTCAGAGTCGGCCTGGAAATCTTCGTCAGGGGACTCGTCATCTTCATCTGCTGAGCCGCGGTTGGCGCCCGCATCATCATCGTCGGATGAAGCAAGGTCTTGGTCGTTAAGCGCTGCTTTGAGCAACGTCGATGAATCATCCAGCATCTCGTTCTTAAAGCGGATCCCCTTGGCCTATAGGTCGATGTCAGTGCAAATTCGCCAGAGTATACAAAAGAGGCTTTTCCTTACCTGGAAGAATGCCTCCAATGGCTGTTGCTCCTCACGATTGATATTGCTGAATTGATGCTCTCCTTGCCCATTCTTGAGGGTGATGGTGATGTCAAAGGTTCTGCTAGCGGCCAGAGCACCTCCAACCCGGGACATTGTGATGCTTGCAATCGACTCGATCTGCACATATGTAGCCGGCTTGGGCACAAACATGAAGCTTTTGTCCAAGCAGAAGAGCAGACCCTCGTTGGCCTTGATCGAGCACTTAACTCCATTCATATTGTGGTGGCTCACGAAATCCTTTGAGGGCATAATAATCTTCTTCCCTGAAAGACCCTTGAACACCTTGGCAATGACATGGTGGATAGGTGCTTCGTAGTGGGAATCGAGTTTGTCCTTGTACTTGGTCTCCAGCAGTTCTTCGGTCATGTTGAGATCCAGGTTGACCTCCTCGTCGAGCTTCAATTGCATGACGATAAAGGGATATCTGGTTTGTCCTTGCCGCAGAGGAGGGTCGAGACCTAGAGTGATGAGGGTGTGTACTTCGTCGTTTTTGGGCAGGATGAAGAACTTTTTGATCGATTGATACTGAATCTTGTAGTCATACGTCTTTCCTCGTAACCGAAATGAATTCTCGTACATATCGATGTCGAAACGACCTCTGTAGCCAAGTCAGTAAATAGCACAAATTCACAACGTATGACACGTACCTGGGGGTAAGATGCAAGATATCTTGAAAAGTGGCAAAAGTGGCGCCAGCAACTTCTCCAATCTCGGCCTTGTCCATCAAAGTCTCGTAAAACAGATTCGCCGCATTTTGCTCGTCAACCTCTTCATCCTCGGCGCCACTTGCATCTTCGTCGCCGTTGACCTCTTTCTTGGACACCGTGCCAGGGATGTAGAAGCGCATTTCGACCAGTTCATCGCGAGCAGCGGCAGCCTTGCGTCCGCGGTTTTTGGTGGCCCCTGCAGCGTGGCCATTGGCCCCATTTTGAGCTGGTTCGTTTCCTAGATTGAATTCGACAGCGATCTCATTCTTGCCTGCCAGATTCGTGTTTGCAATCTCGGAATAGGGTATCTCGAACGCAGGCCTGTTCTGCACATTGAATGCGAGCTCCGCCCTTCCAAATTCTGCCTTGCCCCAGTTCCAGCCTCTGAGAGCATGTTCCTTGTTTTCGAGATTGATCCCATACCAGATCTTGAAGGCTTTTGCAGCGCGATCGAAATCTTCTTGTTCGAAACCATCGAGCTGAATGACGGATGGGTCTCGTGTGATGATTTTTAGCTCGTAGCCTTTTGACGCTCTGCTCCATTGTGCTGCAGCGATCTGGTTGTTGTCGAGTGTGAAGGGGTCGCTGCCGCCACTTGGTTTCCATCCAAGACCGCTCTCGGCCAGTCTGCATCGACCGGACTGCTTGGAGAGATCGAGATAGATGTTTTCGAAAGTTTCCCTAAGACATGTTAGATGAACTCAGAGGATGCTGCGAGGGACGAATACTGACATCCTGGAGATGCGAACCCGTCGACCAGGGGATTTTCGACTTGAAGGAGGATTATGGTCGGTGGCGGAAGGCGATGAAGGTTGAGATCGAGAAGGAATGCAGCAGAGAGACCAGGTCTAGAGAGCAGGGCTCAACTCTGGATGGTCGAGTCGAGTTTTTCCGCAGTCCTCTAGTCACAAAGGCGCTGCACCAAAGAGTCAGGGTTTGAAAAATACGTAACAATTCCACCCATGTACAGGATCCTCAGTGGTGATAAAGGCTAGACAAAGTCGCGCCTGGGGAAAGCCATGCCTCGATTATCGATGGCGCGCTTTGATCGCGGTGCCCACCCGTAATTAACGACCATCGCCGCTTTTGGAGAGACGTTATTGTCCGCCAATCAGGTCCGCGCTAGCATCTCGCTTCTTATTTTCCGCTCTATACCACACTCCCGTTCTTTGTACTTCTGTTCTTCCATCTCAAAGTATTATTCCCGTGTTGAAAGTTATCTGACCGATATGCTGCACTGTTCATATTGGAGGAGAATTTCTCCATCATCTCTAACATCAGAGTCACGTGGATAATATCAGATACAGCAGCGGCAGGCGAGACCAATTAACATCGAAACGAGGATGCAACCGCACGGGTCAATACAGCCACAACGCACTTCTTAGACACCGACTTGGGCTGAGTCCGAGCGGTCGGGGATAAGAAGGAACGGTCGCTTCGAGGAGGAGGTAGAGATGAGTCAGCGTCATGCTCACGACCACTCTATGGGATCTACGCATGTAGTGCAGGAATTCCGACACTGCCCCGACTATGATTTGATTGGTACCAAATCAATTGTATGGCCTCGCTTGAACCTCTCATATCCTCGCAATAAATAAGACCAGTCGCTATGGATCAAGATGCCACCCGTTCGACCTATAACAACAGTTCGACGTGGAACTGTGACCCAGATTCGGAGACACTTATGCTTTTCAGAGATGGCGACCATACTTCATCGGCAGATTGGCCCTGTAGGCTTTGGACTCATGGGCCTCACGAGACCGAACGGAACATTAACACAAGAGGAAGCATTTGCCGCCATGGACGCAGCCCTCGAAAATGGGGCTAATTACTGGAACGGAGGGGAATTCTACGGAACACCCGATTACAACAGCTTACATCTTCTCCGCGACTATTTCAGTAAATACCCAGAGAGGGCTTCTCAAGTGACCTTAGCGATCAAGGGAGCGCGATTTCCAGGAACGTTGAAATTCGAGGGCACGGAGAAAGGCGTTCGACGATCCGTCGACGAATGTAACCGGATTCTCGCAGGGACCAAGACTCTTGATATTTTCGAGTGTGCTCGAGTCGACCCCGAAACTCCGATCGAAGAGACAATGCGGGTTCTCGGCGAACTCGTTAAAGAGGGGAAAATCAAAGGTATCGGGCTCAGTGAGGTCAAGGCCGATACTATTCGACGGGCCGCGAAAGTGCAATATATCGCTCAAGTCGAAGTCGAACTCTCGCTGTGGTCACCGGATATTCTCTTTAATGGTGTCGTCAGCACATGTGCAGAACTAGGAATTGTAATTATTGCATATGCACCGCTAAGTCGGGGTGGTTTGACGGCCAATTTGGCGGAGAACGAGCAAGATTTGCCGCCGCATCTCAAGAATTATCCCCGATTTCAAGGTGCAGCCTTGCAGGCTAATCGTCAGTTGACCCAAGAGGTCCAGAAGCTGGCATTAAAGAAGGGATGTACTGTTCCCCAGCTCGCGATTGGTTGGGTACGAGCGCAGAGTGGGAGGAATGGAAATGGCATCATCATTCCTATTCCCGGCGCGGAAAGGCCAGAGTGGGTAGCAGAGAACTGTAAGATGGTGGAGCTCGTCGAGGAAGATTTGCAGTGTCTTGATGACATTGTAAAACGCATTCCTATCCAGGGTGGCAGATATAATACGGCTGAAGTGAAGCTGAGCGAGGGCTGATCGATCACACATGTGGGGGGGGGTTCAGATCCTATGACCAGGGGACGAGACCTATCTGCAATCTTCTCTTGTACTTAGAACCTGATAAAAACTACATGTGGCTGATTGGTCCCCCCACGAAAGCAGAGCTAGAGGGTCATGATTAGGTATGTATTGTTTGAAGCTAGAGATACAAGTACAGTATTGGGATCCCATTATTACAAGTCAAGCCCAAAAGGAAAAGCAAAACTCCATGGTCAATTTTTGCCATCTGGCAACACGCCCATTCCTGAATCCCGGCTCCAATAACATTATCATAGGTGGGTCCACAAGGCTCCGTCATCCAAACCAGGTGCTGTACAGGGTATCTTTCGAAGAACAAAATCGAGGGGTTTGTTGTGGGTGTAGTTGGGGGGTGGAGGAAGCGGCTCATGCTTGCTATGCTTTGTCGGCATCGTTGAAGACCTTGACGCGGCGCTGTAATCTCGCCCGTTTCGTTGGGGAAGTTGAGGCGAGAGCTGGAGTGGACATCATGCCTCGATCTTGGAGGTATCCCAAGGGATGTCTGTCAACGCTGAGAGGCCGTTTTGATCCATTTGAATAAAGATGGTGTCTCCGCTCAAAGGTCGGACAGTGCTTGATGGGATGTCCGCATGCTTCTTCTTGCGGGTGGCCGCTTGGTACGCATGAGACCGCGGGGGGCTTGTTTTCCTCGCATGGCCACTCAGGAGCTGGCTTCTCCACAGGTGATTTAGCGCTCAAGGTTACATGACGCTCAGTGTCCTTGATGGTAGTGGCCGGTGTGCGGACCTCGTTGTCAGTGTTGCGCTCAGGGGTGATGTGAGTGATGGACCTTCGATAGCTCCGTCTTCTAAAAGGACCTGTTAGGCAGTCATCGTTGTTTCGGGCGGACTGCGGGCTTCCTTGGGCTTCGGTCAGGTCTGTAGACTGGGGTAGACTGGGAGGACGATCTCCAAAGGCAGCGAGGATATCATCTAAGGTATCTCCATTAAGCAACGCAGCATGGTAGATCTCGGAGGCACTGGCTGGAGCATCAATGGTTTCGGTGGACTCAGTTGCGCAAGGCTTGACAGACTCGTCATGTAGACTTTCGACATCAATGGCACTGTCTGGACCTAGGCTCAGTAGTGGCTGAGGAGTAGGATGGATCGTATTTGGATCTTCTCCAATTGCTCTACCAAGAGCGTACAAAGTTTTGAAGATGCGTAACGGGGTCCGAACATTTTCTCTCATGTTGAACCATAACTCCATGAGCGAGAGGCCGCCGGGCCCGCCCTTGCACTGGTCGCAATCCGCAAGACTCCGGCCGGGTCGCAGCATGGTGCTCCAGGTGGCGAGATACCAAGGGTCATCTGAGACGGCGAGTTTGTGGGAGATGTAGAGCAGAGGCAGCATGTAAAGTCTCAGGGAGAGAAGAGAAACGAAGACGAGATGCTGGAGGAGGCGGCGGACTGTTTCATGGATCTCATGATAGAGGCTTGTGTGCTCATGTCCCGCCTGGGTACGATCTCCCTCGACGGCATGGGAGTAATGATCGTGATCTGAGGAAGAATGGTGACCGGGGAGATGAGACATGATGGACGTTGAAGCGCAAAGGGTGCGCAGCGAGGGCAGCCAGGTTGTCGAGATGTCTGCGCCTATTTGCCTATTACGAGACGAGACGTCTGGAGAGAGGAGAAGCGTCAAGCTCGGGGAGGGAGTGGGTGAGATGTCAATGTATACACAAAATATCGATGGAGGATCGCAGAAACACCACAGTTTGGGCCGGCGTCAACAACACACAAAAGAAGAAACTAGGGCTGATGATGTTGAAGATAGGATTCACATGTCTGGCAGAAGCATTGACCGTGGGAAGTTGCGGAAGGTGAGTTCCAGTGTCTTGACAGGTGGCACTTGCACCCAAACATCATGTATCCGGTGATGGAATCAGAGTGCAGGTGCAACTTACCTTGAGGTTTAATTTGCACCTTCCTTAGCGTTGTAAGGATTCAGAGCCTCTGACTGGCGCCAAATCATGAAGCTTTTATCAAGTCAATCATCTAGTGGACGGATACGTGTGGCCGGATAGAAGAACCTATCGAGAAGAGGCAGGTTTGTGTGCTGCGTCTGGGGTTCATTCAAGTGACAGCAAAAGCAACCAGCAACCACAGCATCGTCACCACCAACAAGCGAGGAGCAGCACCAGCTCGAAATCAGTGTTGTCGAAAACATCTTGGGAGGAGTTGGTACGTGGGTTCAACTCGAGAGAACGTGACGCGTGTGTGGAATGGAACAAGTTTTGGCAATGACAAAGTGAGAAGGTGCATGGGTCACATATTACACACGTGACTAATTTTGAGATCTTGGCAAGCCGGAAGAACGATAAACAATATCCGTTGACGAGTGCTCGGACATGAATAACCTGCTGACCCTGCCTACGTACAATATGAGAGCATTGGATCTGAGGTATCCACGCATACGCATACGCATACGCATGGGAGCGTACCTAGATATTACTAATGCTAACGTCGCCGTTTGCCCTTGGCTCATATTGAGCACCCTGCCTGCACAGAACAAGGGATGCGTGGACCACGTGCCTCCTCATGCGCGTCGCGTATCCATTTAGACTGATGCGGGGAAACTTATCAATCACCCTTCCTCGGCCCATCTGTAGTAAGATCTGACTGTAGTATGCATTCAAATCATCTCTGAAGCGATAGGAGTTGGTAAGAGAACCAGACTATCAAGACAGTGACCTAATCATGATACGACAGTGGTCTGGTTCTTTTACATGAGAAGCGTATTGAAGTCTGACGTTCGTCATCCTCACAAATGTGAGGCAGGAACGAACAACCCTTAGCACCGGACCTTCTCCATATGACAACCGACACCCCGCCTCTGGTTGTCCTTTTTGGCTCCCATAACCTCTTTGCCACTCAACCTCACCACCCCATCCCATCTATTTTTTGGGGCTCTCTCTCGTTTACCGCTATCATCATTGCCGTCTGACTATTGCATGACTGCATCTCAGATCATATTGTGATGAAGATGACTCACAATCTGAGAACGACGGCCATATGGGGTCTTATGGACACAAACTACCACTTTTGGAGAGGTAAAGGTGACGATTCCGTCGAATGATCTGCAATCAGAGTTCCACGGGAATTAAATTCCTTGGTCTCGAGTTAACCTCCACCCTCTAACTCTAGGGAGGAGGGGTCTATTCAATCCACCATGCTTATCTTTTGGACATCTTAACTTGACCTCTTCCCCAGTTCTGGCAATTGTACTCCCATTCAAGATTGGCCCACCATAGACAACGACCAAGAATCTACCATCATGGCTGCGACACAGCTAGATGCTCTGATCGTCGGAGCCGGCTTTAGTGGCATCTATCAGCTCTATCGACTTCGTCAGTTAGGCTTGTCTACACGCGTAGTCGACATGGCTGGCGATGTGGGAGGAACGTGGTATTGGAATCGCTATCCAGGGGCAATGAGCGACACTGAAAGCTACTTATACCGTTTCTCATGGGATGAAGAAGATTTATTAACCTATCCTTGGTCTCGGCACTATGTCAAGGGTCCTCAAGTTCTCGAGTATCTCAGACATGTTGTCGAGAGGCATGATCTGCGCAAAGATATGCAATTCAATACTGAACTGGTCTCAGCCGATTGGAATGGTCAATCCAACCACTGGGACGTTCGCCTGAGCACAGGAGAAGTCCTGAAAGTCAGGTATCTTATCACTGCCTTAGGCCTACTGTCCAAAGCAAATTATCCCGACATTCCCGGCGCGAGCACTTTTACAGGCACACTCTGCCATACTGCCGCTTGGCCAGAAGACCTTGATCTCACGGGTAAACGAGTTGGCGTTATTGGCTGTGGTTCCACCGGCGTTCAAGTCATCACCGATATCGCTTCCCGCGTCAAATCGCTTACTTGCTTTCAGCGAAGTCCACAATACAGTGTCCCAAGTGGCGATCGACCAGTCGAGCCTGAGTACCGAAAATGGGTTAACGAAAACTATGACCAAATCTTCGACCAAGTCCGCAATTCCATTGTGGGCTTTGGCTTCACCGAGTCGACAGTGCCTTTCAAGTCAGTTACTTCTGCTGAAGAACGAGATGCTATTTTTGAAGAGCTATGGAATAAAGGTAATGGCTTCCGCTTCTTTTTCGGTGGCTTCTGCGACCTAGCTATCGATCGAGAGGGTAATGAGGCAGCTTGCGCATTTATCCGCAAGAAAATATCCCAAATTGTCAAGGATCCTGAGAAAGCCAGAAAGTTATCACCCCATGAATACTATGCTAGACGACCGCTGTGCGACGCCGGGTATTTTGAACAGTTCAACCGACCTAATGTTGATATTGTGCACTTGCGAGAGACCCCCATCGTGTCCATCAGACCGCAGGGTATCGAGACCACAGCTGGCCTTGTGGAGCTCGATGTCATCGTCTTTGCCACGGGCTTCGATGCCATCGACGGCAGTTATAATCGTATTCGAATCCGTGGTCGAGACGGTCTCACACTCAAGGAGAAATGGGAGCCCCGCGGTCCCACAAGCTACCTCGGTGTTGCCGTACCCAGCTTCCCAAATCTCTTTCTCATCACCGGACCTCAAGGCCCGTTCACGAATCTTCCTCCTGCCATTGAGGCTCATGTCGACCTTACTACTCGGTTGATCACGCACGCCGAAGAGGTTCGCAAGGCACAAGGCGATGATTCAGTCGGACTGATAGAAGCACTCCCAGAGGCGGAACAGGAATGGTGCCAGAGGTGCGAGAATATGGCTGCGGGGACTCTCTTCCACGAGTCAGCTTCCTGGATCTTCGGGCGAAATATTCCGGGCAAGAAGATCGCATTGCGGTTCTACTTTGGCGGCTTGAAATCCTTTTACGAAGCCGTGAATCATGTCATTGAGGCCGACTATGAAGGGTTCCGACCTATCAACCAGTCAAGCCCCGCCAAAATTCTCTCTCACGACAGCCCATCTGAAGGGATTGCTCCTGCAGTTGGAATGCTCGATGGGGTGCAGTCCTCAACGCGCTGAAAGTGGCGGACGCCGTGTCCATGTTACAATACTACTAATCACTTGGATCCAAGGGTTCGACTTTTTCAGATTACGATAACGATGGGCTTTTATTGAGGCCCATCTATTTCTATTGTGCGCTTCAGACAGGGCCAGACTTGAACAAGCACTCACTGGATTGAATGTCCTGGGTTGAACGATTGGCGAGATCTAGGTATTAATAAAGTAGAGGAGTAAGTAAGTACCTAGTAGATACCTAGTACGCTTGATAGTAGTACTATCTTCTATGAAGTTAGGTACCTACTAAGTACCTAGTTCTAATCTACTACAGAGTACATAAGTAAGTAGGTAAGTAGGTACAAACCAAAGTAAGTAAGTACCTAACCTACTTACCTACTCTTTTCCTACTCAATAAGGTACTTAGTATACTACCACATTAAGTAGGTACTTACCTACTTTAGTACCTACCTCTAGTAAGTACATAGGAGCAAACCAATTTATTTTCTGACAAATGGCTGAGTCATTTGATTCTGGTGGTCAAAGCAAACCATCAATCAGTAGGTATGATTGGCCAGCTTATTCCCCATAGAACTAGTACAATTCGTGATGGTTTCGTGAAGCCGTAGTAATAGATGTGTGCAAGTCAGATACATACCACCAATTTCTACAATATGAGCACCTATTAATGCCCGTGCCTGCCTACCTGACCTACAGGTGTTTTGAGGAAGGAGCGATGGAGTGACATTGGAAAACGGCAGGTGCAACTGCAAATACCTAAGTACTTGGGTAATCTAGTACTTAGAATTTACATGAAAGAGAAGCCTCCTTCAAGACTTCCTCTCTACTAGTCCCTCATTCATTTCGTAATGTAGAATCTACCTTAGTAACTTTCATGATTGATCTACTTAGATTGGTTGATTCGAACTGCTTGACCTCCTTACCTATACCATCCTTCAGGTCATCACTCAAAAGAGGTAAGTACCTAAGGTTCTTAAGAGTACTTACCTAATTAGTAGGTACATTAGTAGTGCCGTACTACTACTTATAATCGTCCTCAGGAATGTGCCATCCTAGAATTTCAACATAGATCCCAGGAATCAGAAACTTGCACTCAGATCTTGATGCAGGTTTACTTAGGCAAGTACCTACTACTTCTTAAAGCAGGTGCAGTGCCTTCCCTCCTAGGTAGGTACTTAGGTAAGAACTTGAACTTACTGCCATGTTTCATTATCTAGTACCTAGGAGCTACTAGGTAAAGTACCTAAGGTACTTGTATAATTTCAAGAGTCAACCTCGATTCATGGTGCTCAAATCAATTCTGAACTGAGTCAAGTCCACTTGATTGAGATTAGATCTCATTCGAACCTCATGAGATCAGTTTAACTCCCGAGTCGTTTTGATTCAGTTTCACTCAAGGTCAGACTCAGGCTGAACCCTACCTAGTAGGTACTTTACTAGGTACTTATATAGGAGGCCTAGACTGCGTTTCGCGAACTCAATTGAATACTTAGAGTACCTAGACCTACCTATAGGTTCTAACTCAATCTCACATCTATCACAATAAACCCAACGCTTTCACTGCTCTATAAGTGTCCTCTACCGTCTGTTGGAATGGAATAGTCGTAGCCATTCCCAAAATCTCCTTTTGACCACTCTGATCCAGAGAGAAATGATTCTTAGGATCAGCCACGGCACCAGGCTCGCCTAGACCTTGAACACCACTCTCGCGCAAACCCTTCAAACCGTCCTCGTAATAGTTGGTTCCCGAAAATAGTAAAATCCTATCATTTTGCCCTTGTGGGAGACTCAATGATGCAACGCACGCTTTTGCAACGTCACGGACATCGATCCAGGCCGGTAACCCGGGATTGCCCACCTTGGGAGCATACAGCGGATCTTTGCCTAGTATTCCATTGATTAATCTGGCTGTACTTGTGTTAAGTCCAGCGATACCGCCCTTGGGGAGTGATTCGGAGCTGTAGTGAATGGGTGGTCCATCTAGTAATGAGTAAGAAAGAAGGATGATCAGTAATGGCGCTTTGAATCAATGTTGAAAACGAGTCTCCAGGGGGAAGTAACACTTACAGATCATCGGTGGACAGAGCGTAGTCAAGTCAAAAGGCGCCTTGTTGGGCTGAGATTCATCCGCTCCAACATCATGCAATTTCCAGGCTTCTCGCTCCGCAAAGGTCTTGCTTGCGTGATAACCAAGAACACCGTTCTGAGCTGCCTGTTCCTCGGTGACGGGATCCCAATCTTTCGCCGTATATGTGTAGCCAGGTCTAGCACCTTTGGATAGATCGGTAACCGAGGCAAATGAAGACAGAACTGTCAGTCGTTTGAGATTTGTACCGTGCTGCAACGCGCTGAGCAGGACATTGCGGGTCGCATTAACGGCGGGCTTGACAAGTTCTTCGATTGGGTTATCAGTGGTGGTGAAATATGGTGAGGCTACGTGGATGGTGTAGGCGACTGGATTCTCTTCGAATGTTGCGTCGAGAGCATGGGCGGCTGACAAGTCGGGAATGCTGGTGAATTTGAGGGTGCCGTTCGAAATTTCACTTGCGTATTGTTTTTGGAAGTGTTGGATTTTGTTGAGTGATCGGACGGGAGCTAGCACTCGATATGATGATGTTCGAAGTAATTGCTCCAGAACATGTGCGCCGACGAAGCCGCTGGCGCCGGTAAGTAAGACGAGGGGTTTGGTAGCCATGACTGGTATTTCTTCGGTAGGTGTTGAAATTAAATCTGAGAAGGTGTTGTTGAGTTGTGCTGAGGACTTCCACTCGACAGGAGTCAGGTATTCTTCTTATAATTTCCACGTCCTTTACACGAGTATCTGGATAAAGGACTTCTTACCGTCCAATCCTTGTAGCTGTAAGTGAATCGGATAACATAAGACTGTAATATGGAAAAGCCTCATGTCCCGGTTATATGTTTTGCATGCATACCTACAGGCCCAGTCGTTTAACCATTGAAGTAAGTAGCTGAATCAGCACAGCCGACTTAGCGGTCGGATAATGCGGCCGCCCCGGGTATACCCCACGTCCAGGTCTACGATGCTCGAGAAACTTGTTGGATAGGATTGACTGGACTGATCTCGGGCTGTTTTTCATTCTTTCGACTTCAGTCACATCGATTCCAGTATTGGGAAGAAAAGGACAAAGTTCAAGTTCATTCTTTTCGAGAGAGGGTATCAATTGGACCATCAGTTCTTTGGTGCTAGAACGCCTAGTATCGAAATGCTTCATAGGTATCCCTCTTCTCCCAGTCTTGAGGGATCTTGATTTTTGACGGCAAAGATCCCCAAGACTTGATGATACAATTTCCAGTAAGCACACAGAGGTAAGGGAGCTTAGCACTAATGCTCAGCCTTCTCCTGAATCTCTTCAGGTGCGTCAGTGCTGCTACGAGTGCGATCACTCTGTGATGTAACAGTCGCAGCTTGGCCTTTACCCAGTATTACGCCGCCACTCTGAGGACCGTGGTATTGTCTCCGGCCCGTTGTGAACCACGTCACAGTGGCAATGAGGAGGATTGCTCCTACAGCTGCTGAGGTGTAGTTCATGTTTTCGCTGGTGACTGGTGAGAAAATGGGAAAGTTGAACGTGATGGTGGTGAAGATAAGGTACAAAACACCAATGATGTTGAGGGGAATGCTCAAGCGACCAAGGTTATATGGACCGCCGATGTTCTTCACGGGCTCTGAGGTGGCCAGTGTCATCAGACGTGCAATCAGTGGGATTGCATACGACACATCTAATATTTCTGCGTTAGTTTGGGCCAACTTTGCCGAATGTCAGACATGAGAGACTTACAAAATCCTTCGGTTGCGACGGCAATGACAGTCTCGAAGCCTTGGACGGCACCGAAATAGATGGCGTGAAGCACCATTTGGACAAAGACAGCGGCCACAAGTCCGTTTACTGGTGTGGCGTTGCTCTGCTGGACTTTGCTCAAGGTATCGGAAAATGGAAGTCCTCGGTCTCGAGCAAAGGCAAAGATGGCTCTTCCTCCCGTAGCAGTCAGTCCGTTTGAGGCCCCGAGGCCGACAATCAGAATCAACATTGCGAGACCAGTGGCGCCACTGCGTCCAGCAGACTGTCTGAAGACCTCGATGATCGGTACGCCGGTTGTGGTAGAGCCGATTGCCTCAAGATCGCTCATGCAAAAGCAAGCAGCAATCAGAAAGACGAACCCGGTAGCGAAGCCGATGTACACGGCCATCACAATCGCTCGAGGAGCCTGCCTCTGAGCATCTTTGACCTCCTCGGTCATGCGGCTGGCACTGTCATAACAGCACATGCCGAATGCGGCTTGAAGTAGTCCAACAATGGCCGTATATGGTGCGGGGAAACCGGTCTCGTTGACAAAGTCTGAGAAAACAAAGCTTGCTGACTGTTTATCATCGTTGGTAGCTAGGATGGTCGTCACTACGATGACGAATGACGTGATGTTGCTATACTGTGTCAATACTAGCCATCTGCAAAAGAAATGAGTGTCCAACTCACAGTATCAGAAATCCCTGAGAGATACGGTTGAACAACCGGGAGAAAAAGACGTTGAAAACCAGAGTACCCAAGGCCACAGCCCAGGCAACGAGCACGGTATGCCATCTCTGGATCACAAAACTAGGGAAATTGAGGTTGGCCAAGCCGAGGATGAAGTTTGCAGTGATAAAATGGCTTGTTGCGCCCATGGCGAGGATCCCGATCAACAAAAACCTAATCAAATGTTAGCAGGTTGGCCTTCTCGATGCCTCCCTCGGCTTCCAACTCACCATCCAGTCACATAACTGAGACCTCTTCTCATGTTTCTCGGCGCCAGCAAGGCCACCCAGCAATATTGGCCTCCTGCCACGGGCCACGCGGAGCACATTTCAGCGAGACTATAGGCGACAGCGAGCGTGCACAGGCAGACAAAGATCCAGGACCAAATCATCACCGGCGCGCCGCCAGACTGGACGCCGACGATGAGAACGCCAGATAAGGCTGTCCATGACGTAACAATACTGAAGGAAAATGCGATGATACCGAACAAGGAGAATTCACGCTTCAACTCCTGTTTGTAGCCCAATTGATTGAGGGCGGCGATATCAGCAGTGCCGACATCTTGACCCAGACTCTCGTTGTTGTGACCGTTCTCCATCGTGGCGAGTATTGTGGACTGATGGACCAAATCAAACCAGCCATTTTAAACGAGTCCGTCAAGGATATATATATATATTAATACTCTATTTAGGACCCTGGGCAGGCCTCAACAAACGCCCAGAAAGTACAATGTGACATCTCCCTGATAAGGACCTTGGCTCATGCCGATGATAGACGGCGGCTTATGTCTTTCATTCGTGTTATATCTGAACCATGGTGCATGACAACGTGCGGAAAAGCGAGTGATCGCCACTAAGTCGGGGTAATGGGTCCTTGAGTGACGAATGACAGCATGCATCATTACGTCTGCCATGGCGATGCGCTAAGACTCTGATAACGCTCCCTCTTGGAACCAGAAGGAGTCAGCGAGTTTTTTTTCCACCCATTCGACGCGCTAGGTTCTTTTGTACTCAAGATCCTATACACAAGTACCAGGTGTCCATGCACTGCATGGCAAATACCCCTGGACCCTCAGTGGATAACTCTTTTTGTTTGCCCGGTTCTCGATACCATATTGAGATAAAATCAATTCTGATTGATCGATTATGAGGCCTCCAGTCACGGATATGTCGGTGTATCGGGTTTCGCCACCAGTAACCCTGCTATCTTGAGAAAACTTTGACTTTTCTTTGACACCACATACTCGGTTTATGCTGGAAAGATCCTTCATCCCTTATCATGTTGCCAAGTATGCAATTTCGTCTTCAGCTCGCTGATTCCAGACCAACGTTGCTCCCTCAACCAGCTTCAGGGTGGTCGGTCAGAAGAGCTGGATTGGTTTCAGGCCAGCTTTCAAATCCCGCACTTGCATGTTGCGAAATGTCCCGTCGAGATGTTTGCTTAGTTGATCGGTGAAAAAATCCTGTCGGCGCATCAGATCCGTACCATAACTGAAACTTGCTGTCAGGTATCTTGCTCCCTAGGAAGTGAAGTTCTAGCAGGAGCCGTGTTTTAGGTACGACTAACACTGGCGGCAATGGTGACTCGATGGGATGAAGCTCTATTCTTAGTGAAATTTGGTGGAAAGTATGAGGCTATCAGCTCATTCATCTCAAGTTTTGGGATGCTTGTCCATGGTCGCTTTGTGTTGGAGCCGTTGATCACGATCGACTCCAAGTCAACTTATTTTTTGAGTTGAGAACGCACCCTTTGCACAAAGGAGATGACTTTTTTTATCCACTGGTTTTACCATAACGGCCTACGCCAGTGAACTCCTGCTGTGCAGATGTGTCTGAGGAGAATAAATCAAGGAACGAAACCGATTCAGTGGGACCAGAGTCTTTATGTCGCAGGCTTTTCCCGTCTTGATCGCTATGCAGTTCACGACATTCTTTTCCCAGTTTCGAGTCTACCACTCATAACGTTCAAGTGATATTGTCGCAGGGTTTTGCGTGTGATATAAGCGATTTTAGCCCCAACGAGATACATTCATCTCGCGTGATATGACCGAATTCAGTTTGAAGAACGATTTCCCTCCATTGACTGGTCTAACTAGACGTCATAGCAGCAGACTCGGCAAGATCTATTTATTAACATAACAGCACCCTGGATCGCACCCATCAACGTAAGTATTACTCTACACAACAGTCTACTCATCCACATCTTGCCGATTACATCGAAAATGCCGGGCCACTTTACATCTATGCTGAAAGAGTCACTAAGCCGGACCAAACACGGCTCTAGCACTGGCAGTGGGAATCCAAGTCCCTCAGTTCCTCTCACCGAAACACTCGTGACAATTCCGGTTTCCCCAGGGTTTTCACCTCGTGTCAAAGTCATCCACCCATCAACCCCAACAACAAGACCTCGACCATTGATAGTCCTACTACACGGAGGTGGATTCGTGCGGGGACCAATCGACTACCTCCGACCTCCTGGAGTGGCTTTCGCTGAAGAATTCAATGCCGTGGTGGTCCTGGGCACGTACCGACTTGTCCCAGCAGTCAAGTGGCCGGTTCCGTGGAAAGATAGCTGGAGTTTACTCGCCTATCTCTCTAAACATGCGCATGAGCCGGAGTTTGGATCTGCGGAGCTGGATGCCAATAAGGGAGGGGGGTTTGTGGTTGGAGGGACGTCAGCAGGGGCTTCATGTGCTGCGGTTTGTGGTTGGATTGATGCATTTGGTGTTTCTAGCGATGAAGGGGTGGATGAATTGGCCTCAAGACTGACGGGCGTAATGGCAAATGTGCCTTTTCTTCTGGTGCCGCAGATTGTGCCGCAAGAGTGGCGGTCGAGGTGGACGGCGTGGCAAGATAATGAGAGAGTTAACGGATTCAACACGAATACCCTCAGGGCTGTGATCCAGGGAATTCAGTGTTCGAACTACAACTCCCGATGGTTTAGTCCTATACCGGATCTGTGCCAGGGAGATGACCAGTTACACGGCCATCCCAGGGTGTATATGACTTATTGCCATCTTGACCCGCTCAGAGATGATGCTTTGGTTTATAGCGAGCTGCTGAGGAGGAGAGGGGTGAAGGTAAAGACGGATTTATTCCCGGATGATGGCCACACTGGTTGGTCTTCCATGGGGTTTGCTATGAGGAGCAAAAACCCCACTATTCCTGAGGCTAATATGGAGGGAATGAGATGGCTACTGCGGAGATGAGTGAGAGCATGGAGCGTGAGCCGTGCTTTGAAGGCGCCGTTATCAACGGGGTACATGCTGGTGTTCAAACTCCGCTACGCAATCATTAATTTCGGTAGGATATATAGGAAGATGAGTTGGCATACAATCAGTAATGACACAGACCAGAATATCCTCGTTTCATCCGTGGGGCGATTCATGCTCAGA